GACAACTGTGGCCCAGCAACCTCGCCAAGCACTGAGTCACATCCAACCATACACAGCCAAGGGTCTGGGCCGCGGGGCAGCATAAACAGGGACCAGGGGGCTTAGAGGGCTTAAAGTGAAATCAGAGGCAAAGAAAACAGAATAATCTAGATCTGTAGGTTGCTTTTTAATGCAGATACTGGATGAAAAAGTAGCTTTATGTTGGTCATACGCCAACAGAAATATATATCCAGCAATGTTCAGTCAATTAACCTAAATAGAGACACATCAGTGCAATAACATACAGTTATGTTGGCAGGTATTAAGATATAAACTATGCCCCATCTTAAAAACAAACTAGAGCTTAGTTCTGTGATTTTGTAACTATTCCAGCCTCTTAATAACAAAGATTTTTACAACTTAGGATGAGCATATTTATGCAGCATAGGGTCCTGTAGCCACAGCCTGCCACAGCAGGTCCAAACCTCCCACTGTATTTTAAAAACATCATCAAATTTAAAATCTGTTTTTTTTAAATGTCAAAAATATGAAATGTTAAAACAAAAAAAAAGAACAAAATCTGAGAACACAACAAAGTTACTTTTAACTCTTTTTTTTGTGGATGAAATCTTTTTTCACAGTTCCATTTTCCTAGATTACATTTTTTACTGAATTTTATTTTTTTCACAAAATGTTTTCTTTGAAATCATACTGAAACACAATTCACTGCATACAAAGCAAGTTTAGGATCCCTGCAGCTTTGAAAAAAAGATTTAATGATGAAAAATCAGCCCCTACAGATATCTTACCATTTGTAAAATTTGGAAAGCGATCAAAAAGTCCTGATTGCAGTTTGCTGTAAGCTGTTTAGGCAACAAAGCAAACATCTGGTGGAAGAATTGTTCAGATAAAGCCTTCACTGGACATACTGTTGCCAAAATAAACTTAATGCTGGAGGGATCATGCTGTAAGGATATTTGGCTTTAACATATTTGGGAGATCTAGTCTCAGGATGATGCTTGAAGGACAAAAAAAAAGGCTAAATGTGGAAGAAAACCTGAGGGAAGCAGCACAGAACGTTAGACTTCAGTGGAAGTTCACCTTCCAGCTGGACGATGAAACTGAAACCAAATAAAGCTCAAATAAAACAGTAATCAGGTGTGATAAGGTTGTCAGTTCAGTGGATATGTGATTTTAAGGCTCTGAGTGCTCTGTAGTTGACAGTAAAGATTTTATTAATTTCAATATGACAATATCTAAACCTTGATTAGGATAAAACAGCAAAGAAGGAAATGATTCAGCCTAAATATTGAAAAAAAAAATCATTACCAAAAGGTATCACTACTCTGTGGACTAAAATGTTTATAGGAAAGAATTTTCCTTTTGATTCAGTTTTGCATTGATTCTATTTTATTATAATTTTTATCTATAGTTTTCCATGTGTGTCTCCATTTTCCCATAGATTTGCAGCTCATAGAGAATAAATTTACCACTGGAAAAAATCAAAATCTAGACGAGTCATTTTTTTCTTAAAATAAGTGCATTTCACCTTGGATTAAGGTAGTAAAAGAGACATCTTGCCAATGGAACAAGGCAATTTACACTTAGAATAAGAAAACAGAATAGCATTGTTTAATTTTAAGTGCATATTATCTAATTATCTTATTAATCAGAGTAAAAATACTCATTCCATTGGCAAACTGTCTAATTTACCTACGCAAATTAAGGGGAAATACACTTAATTTAAGACATTTTTACTTATTTCTAGATCGTTTTTTCCAGTGTGAGGAACAAACAAAGGTTCATTCTATGGCGAATGTTTAAAAAATAAACAGCTCTGTTGCAGATAAAATATTTTTACATTGTAAATGAGGATCTGGTTCATGCACATGTTTTCAGTGTAGATTACTGATCCTTTTCTTTAGTGATCCTCTGCAGCAGCATGGTAGGTTGCTAGGTGACCCTATGTTTTTCAGCTCTAATTGTCAGCTTCAGTCTGGCTCCACCATAACCTGTTATTATTAGCATCAAATGCCTTTACTACTCCCACTGAGGGGTGATGGAGTAGTAGCCAAATGAGCCATCAACTGATAAACATTCTCCTGCCTTAGGGAGCCTTAGATTTAAACAGATAGTATTGCTTTGTGCCTTTTTTTAAGTTGTAATATTATAGGATATATATGATACATCAGACATTGATTATTTGCACAACCCTAACGCCCAAAGTTCAGACCTGAATCCATTTTAGAGTCTGTTTTAAGATTGGTTACTGTATTACCAGTAAAATGTGTTTCTGCCAATTATTGAGTCACTGACGAGAAATACACTCCAGTTTTTATTTGTACAAAGTTATCATCTTTGTTGGATTACAAAGTCAGACACAATGTTTCTGTTGTTGTGTTACATAGAAATCCTAATAAAATACACCAGAGGTTGAGTTTCTAAGACAAGAGACCGGAACTAATTTAAAACAAAGTTTATTTAATTAGCTGATAAATAAATGATAAATATTGTTCATATACCGGTAGTGCTTTACAAAGTAATATAAAAACAAGAAGATGTCAGGGCAAAATACATCAAATATAGAAATGTAAAAAAGGCAAAAAAAAATATCAAGATAAAATGGATTTTATCTTGCCCTGCCATTGTCTCAGTCAGCTACATATAGGCTCTGTTCGAAAACGTAGGACGCATCCTCCAAGGACGCGGTCTACCTAGACTGGATCCTTCGAAGTCCTTGAAAATAAGGAGACCGGAAGAGTTTTGTCTGTGAATTCGACCAGGTCCTCCCTTCGGCGGGTTTTACCGCTGTATGCTCTGTTGCTTAGCAACCGTAAACGTTGAGACACAAAGCAGGAAAAGAATTACAGAAGTTTTCAAAACTGTTTATTTATTTCTTTTTTATTGTGAAGTGAACAAAGACTCACAAGAATCCAGAGTGGAATAAAGGTTCCAACCACCGGGAGAAGGAACGAATCAAATCAAATGTAATGATAGAAACCTTAGTCAGTTAAATAACCTGCTGCTGTCATTCTGCACATCTCTGATGTTGCTGCTATTTTCAAATATCCATCGCTGTAAAAATGTCCATAGCTGCATATTGGTTATTAATTCTCCAGTTTTATATTGTTAAAACACTTTACAGTATTTTATTGTTTATATTTTAACTCTTCCCTATTATGTTATTCTTATACATTTTTCTAAGGTCCACATTTGTGTGACCAATTTCAATAATCTTTCTGCTGCTGTAAATTTGCCCATTGTGGGACAATAAAGGGATTTTCTATTGTATTCTATAAAAGGGTTAGAAATATATAAGTAAATCTAAACAATGTATTTATAAAAAATATATCTGCAAAATCTCTAATATTCAACAACAAAAAATACGTAGTTAAGCATATTCTGCAAAACAGCAATGAAAAGATAAAACTCCTATCAGGTTTATAGTCCCCACCCTGCAGATCTATTAGAATCTGTCCTTAAATTACAGCCAAACCCATTTACACAGTAACAGATAAAAAACTTTAGATAAATCAAACATTACCGCCACATATCTGACTCTATAACCATTAAATAAACTATTTTTCATTTATCTCAGACGGAACTATTAAATGACTTGTATTATATTAAACTGAACTTCCAATTTTCACCACTGTTCGGCGCCAAGTAACCTTTCCTCTGATCACGGCTTGCTTGGTCTCGCAATGAATCCTGGGATATCCAAGAATACCGAGGATACATCGGACCCGTCCTTCAAATCGGGCAAAAAGAAGGACGCATTTTAAGGCCGCATAACGAGGACTCTTGGAATCCGACCAGACCTCTGCGGCGCGCTATGACGTAATCGACCTTCGAATCCGGTCTTCTAAGGATGCGTCCTAGGTTTTCGAACAGAGCCATACTCTCCCTCTGCTCTCACTCCTTGTTGGTTCCTTGTCTTTGCTGTCCCCCCATGCTGTTGTCCACCTACCTCGTCTCTCCCTGGCTCCTTGTGGTTGGTTTCCCCAGATGTCTCCATAGTTCTGCTTTGGTTTTCATTTGTTGGATTTTTGGTTTCCTGCCTTTGGTTACTGTTTTTGCCCCATTAAACTGCAAGAAATCTCCTCAGCCTCTCTGCCTCTGCATTTGGGTCCTCAAACCACAACTAAACCCTGACCGATTCTAACCATCTACTGACCTCTGTAATAATTAAATTTGAGTCTTGTTAGCAGTAATGATGTTGTAGCTTTAGAGTGCAGTAAAAAATAAACCATTAGCATGAAACCAACCTTTAGAGTAGGTTATTGTCACAATATACACCCAAAAAACTAGACCATGGCACTGATTTACAGATTTTAAACTACCGGTAGCTGGACTCGCTTCCTTTGTGAAGGGTCTATGGGGTCTAAGACCCAGTTAAGGGTATTACCTGTTAACAACAAATGTTTCCTATTTATTTGTACGTTTTTTAAATGAGCTTCTTATGCATCCACCTTTCCACCCAGTTTCTATTCTTTAAAGAAGCTACATGAACTTGTGTCAGCAAAATAGTTCACCATGAGTTCATGGTAATTGCATTACAAGTCAAAGATACAGAACCATGAAATATCTATAAAAGAGACTGAGTCATCAGTTTGTAAAAATGGAAATGAAGTCCTATGAGACTCATACAATGAGTAGTGGTGGTTTAAAAAGGGGGAAAAAAAGACATTTTTTGGTAAGAAATGTTATATATAAATATATATTATCCTCTGTTATAAAAACACATTTGTTTTATTTGGAAAAATAAACATTTAGTGTTAAAAAAGCATTCTTAGTTTATTAGGAGATTGAAAGTTCTTATTTTTTCCTGTTATCATCCGTCGCACAAGAACTCATTTAAAGATAAAAAAGAATAATTCTCTCTAAAATTACTTAGTTAGTGTTTAATGGTGCTTTAAATCTCCACAGCAGCACCCAAAGTAACAGAATCTAAAGTCCAGTTTATGGGAAACTGCATTCCTCATGTCTTTCCAGTAAAAACAGAAACAGAGTAGCAGGTAGTTATCTTGTTTCCCTGTGACTCCTCCCACATTTTTTCCTTATAAATGGGAATAAAAGGAAGCTCACTCAATTTGAATTTAAATACCAAGAACCCTGATCAAGAATTTGTTGCTTTGTTCGGCTGCAGGTAAAACTTCAGCTTTTTGTTCTCTGTGTGTTTTAATGTTTTTTTCTTCTTCTAGCTGCAGATGTTAACCTGTTAGGGGGAGTTTGGTTTGGCCTCGGTGTCCAGTTTCCAGTCCTATAAATCCCTGCCTTAAAGGTCAGACTTAATAAGCCAACCAGCATCCGAGCCAACAAAAGGGTTTAGGAGGGAAACCTGTTTTATCATATGGGATAGAAGCGTCGAGTTCTGGTTGGTTTCAGACATGTTTGCATCTCTGATCTCAACATTTACAACATTTATATTTAAGTTTCTGTGAATACTGGCTAATCTGTATAAACTAAGAGTTAAAAAAAACAACAACACATAGACATGGTTGCTTTAAATAGCTTAATTGTTATTGTCATCTTTCTAGCCATTCATCTCTTGATTAATATAGTTAAAATTGTAATATAACAAAGATTCTGAATGAATAATAGTTATTATTACAGCTTGTGGTGTAGCACTGTAACAAGCTTGTGGAATGAATTGTAATATTAGCAGGTTTAGAACATTTGATGCTGGTTAGGCGTCTCCCAATTAGGTCTTAAACAATTAATCTGATTGTTCGTCATTAATCAGTTATTGACATAATCAATGAATTGTTAACTGGAGTATAGAGACTGAAAAATATTCCTTTAGCATATTTTTTCAGCAACCAACTCATGGCATTAATTATATTTAGATTGCAAACAAAAATCTGAAAATTTAGCATTAAAGATAAAAAAAAAAAATACTTTTCATCTGTCAGTATGCTCTATCCAGCCTATACCACTCTATCCAGTGGAAAAGTTTTATTTTCATCTTGTTTGATTTTGTAAAAAAATCTTTAAGGAACCTTTAGCTATCAGATGATTAATCAATTAATCAAAAAACAAATTGACAGATTAATCGATTTACCAAATACTCATTAGATGCAGCCTGTGTCCCAATATAAACTCTTTAATTCAAGAAACTATACCAATATTGTTCCGATACAATATCTGTACGAATCATAGATACTTTATTTCTCACTTTGTAGTTATGTAGCGGAGACGGACACAGGTTCCTTTACTCCAATCAGACACGTTATATTAATGACACTGATTCTGCACATGCTCAGGTAAACCCTCACCTTCACCAGCAGAACAGAAAACACATTCAAGATTATTTATTGGAAAAAAAGGTTTTAAATATTATTTTTTTTTATGTGGGGTATTTTTAGCTAGCCTGACATAGTCTTACTCAATTCTTGTGGGCGGGACTAAGTTCGGAATGGCACCCAGGCTAATTTTTAGCCATTCTGTCCTGACTGTATGATGTTTCATGGTTAACATGTTATATGCATCTCCTCACCTGCAAATGTGTATGATGTCATGATGTGTCAGACTGGAGATGTATAAAATGCTTCTTTAACTGTAAATCTGAGCCTCTTCATGAGATGTGAGCCCAGTTGGTAAGCAGCTGCTTTCTGTAACTCTAAGCAACTTCTCTTATCTTAATAAGATTACAATTTCTATCAGAATTCATTTTTTCCTCCTATCTTTAACAGTGTTAATTTGAGATGTTCAATAAGTAGTAATGTAGTAGTTCAAAATGTCTACTTTTCAGAGCACCAAGGGCTGCAGTTTAGTTGTTAATCATATTTTCATAAACCATATAAATTACCAGCATAATATGCTTTAGACAAAAAAAAGTTTATTAGTCAAACTGATGGTTTCTTAAAATGCTGCAACCATCGACTTTTCTTCATATGAATTTCTAAAAGATGTGTTACATGTATTCGAATTAAAACAGTATTAGAAGACAGATGAAAGTTTGATTTAATAGATTTTTCCGCCATTTAATTTATATAAACAAACAGCTGGTGTGGGACCAACTATCTCAGAGTGTTTAAAAAAAAGAAGTGTTGCAACCATCTCCATTCTCCCCTGTATTAGAGGCGGGTTGGTCATGATGTTATTCAATCAGAGAAGAATAGTCATGACCCGTCTGCTATTAACCATGAAACTTTAAAGGAAGCAGATAGAGGCAAAGCGTTTCTATCCACATGTGATATCAGAGATTTTAGATGCAGGTCGATATATTCTGATATTCTTTGTCTGATATCTGACCGATACCTGATATCAGTATCAGGTCGGGACATCCCCTAATTACTGAGATTTTTAAAAACTATAGTAGCATGGTTTGATCAATCCATGCCACTATCTGTAGCTGTCTGTGTGTGAAGCTGTTTTGGAGTTTTCTGACAGCTTTATTTTATCTACATAGTTCAGGTTTTTCTTTACAGTATTTTTAATACATTTATAGTCTTATATTTTATACAAGCTGGGCCGATTCTCCAGCTTAATGGTGAGTCCTGCGTTGTGTAGTATACACTCACGACCACCTCTCCAACAGGAATCGTATGGTCACGAGACAATCGTACATGTTTGAAATTCAGTCGGCCTTCATAAAGTGTTTGTGGGCAAATCTTGCAGTTGAAGCAGAGCTACGAGCCGATTTACCAGAACCTCAAGCATTGTGCATGTGCAAACAAGGCTTTTCTTCTTCCAGATTGCAACTCCAACCAGCACCATCTCTCGGCGCACGGTCCGGCGGGTGGTTTTTAGACGTACATTGTGAACTAAGCGTCACTTTGAACTTTTAAACCCTCAGGTTTCATTGTACAGTGTGAGCTGTAGCTGCATGCAATGACTGAAAATATCCCACAGTGTTTACCCGGCTTAAACTGAACACTAAACTGTATCCAAAGAAGCTTTGTTTATGCAAAGGTCTGTATCCACTGGTTATTTTATTTCACCATTTAAATCGTTTTAGCTCAGATCCATGTGTGACACGTCTAAGCTGTGATCTGCTGTGATAATCCCAGTTTCTCTGACAGAAATAAAGTAAATAGATTCTGATTCACACCAATAACGACCTTATCTTCTTCTCTCGTCTGGTTCTTCCTGCTGACTTCTCACACCGCTCTGCAGTTTAAACTTGTCCAATCATGACCGACGCAGACATTTACCAGCCCGCTAATAAACTCTGTCATAAACTCTTTCTGCCCCTGCAGTGAGCCTGATTCTAGACGCTGTATCTGAGATGAGGGCCTCTGTTCTGCTCTGCTTCTGTTTTTGGATGAACTCTGGTGCTATTGCTGTTCAGACCGGTGAGTTTTTGGGTTACCGTATAAAATATACAAAGATATCTCAGAAATGATGCACCTAGGCTTCTTCTACATCTTTCTGTTCAGATCAGAAATGTGGTGCCGCTCCGCCGGTGAACCCAATGGTTCAGTTCCTGAGGGTGGTCGGGGGAACCCAAGCTACACATGGATCCCACCCATGGCTGGTCTGTTACTTACGCTTTGTGTTTCCTTTTAAAAGCTACTTTTTTACAGTTAAAAACTTACCCTAGATGTGTGATTATTTGATACTTTATACAGATTTTAGTCTCCTGTTATAATTTTGGGTCTTCTCTATGCAGCAGTTAATGTTTCATTCGGTCTTGTGTTTTTATATTGAGGTTTCCATGCAGAACAGAGGCTCTCATTTCTGTGGAGGAGCCATTCTGACGGAGAGCTGGGTCCTGACCGCAGCACACTGCTTCCCATCACTATCAAAGTACAGAAACCTGCATTCAATCTTTCCAATGACCCGACAGACGCTGAAAAATCACCAAAACGGCATCCTTTTTTTTTGTGCATAGAGAATTTCTGAGTGGCGTGTTGGTTCTGGTGGGAGAGTTTGACCTTCGAGTTGAAGAAGATGAGCAAGTCTTTACGATCAAGTCTGTTTCAGTCCATGAGAAATACAGTCCAGCATTTCCAATGAACTATGATATAGCTTTGGTGGAACTGGATCATCACATCACAATGGGCAAGTTTTCAATCTTTTAAGTCCCTTTTTTACCTATTAAAAATTGCTGACATGTGGCTGTATTCAACAGGAGCTCGTGTCACGCCGATATGTCTCCCTCAGCCTGATTTAAAAATCCCTCCATGGACCAACTGTGCTGTTGCTGGCTGGGGAAAAACAAAAGAAAGTCTGTATTTATTTTCCATAAAATGTTTTGAAGTAATGCAACCACTTAAAAATTTTCAATGTTTTATTTTCTCTTACCATAAAACAGACATATTGTATTAGGATTTTATGCTGTAGACATTATAGTATAGTTTTAGGAAAATTATAGATATCTTTTTAATTATCAGGTTTATCTTAACTTTGCATGCAGTCATGTTTTACTGAAAGTAAGCCAACTGCCTAACAAAACAGGTATAGCAGTTATGTAACACTTTTTACATCCTTAATTCATTTAAGCTTTGCTGGTGTAGAATTAGCACTAAGGCTCTCACAGATTAATACAACGTACATGCAGTTCAAAGTACAAGAGCTCCAATCTTTGAGATGCTACAGCTTTTAAACTAGCTGGACTCCAGTCCTACACTGCAAAAAATATAAATCTCAATAAGTTATTTTTTCTTAAAATAAGTGTGTTTTTCCTTGATTTGAGGAGATAAGTAAGACACTTTGCCAATGGAACAAGACAATTTCCTTTTAAAATAAGAAAAAACTATTTTATCGTCTTATTTCAAGTAAATATTATCTAACTATCTTATTTTAAGAGTGAAAATACTCATTCCATTGGCAAATCATCTTATTTACCTGCTCAAATTAAGGCTAAATATACTTAATTTAAGCCATTTTTTACTTATTTCTGGATTGTTTTTGCAGTGTATGATGCTTCCTTTGTGAATTAGAGAAAAAAAAACTGTGTCACAAAGGCTTGGTTCACACTGCAGCCTGAAGTGACTCAAATCCGATTGTTTGGCCCATATGCAACCCGGATCTGATCTTTTCATGGCTATCTGAACAACACAGATCTGATATTTTCCAATGCGACCCAGATCACTAGCCTTGCGACCTGTGTCTGAACAGCTAGGTCGCATTCATCCGGCCTGAACGCCATTAATACCCGACAAAGGTCACTATTCTGGGTCTTAATACGCAGAAGCTGCATAAAAAAAACCAACCACCATGACGGACGACGACGCGGAGAGCAGTATTTATGTTTAACCATCTTGAAAATATTGTGTTTTTATGGTTGGGACCATAACACCATCCATGTTTACTTCGGTAAACACAGAGCACAGAGCTGTGATGTCATTGCGTCCTCTACTGCGCATGCGGGACACATGCGCTGAATGCAGTTCACACATGAGATCACATACAAGTCGCCTATATTTGGAAATGTGAACGGCAAAATCGTATTTCAACAAAAAATCTGAATTGAGCATCAAGACCTGCACTGTGAACGTAGCCTAAGGGTCTTATCTGTTAACAACAAATGTTTCCTTTATTTGTACCTATTATTAAATGAGCTTTTTATGCACCAACCACTCCACCACCACCCAGTTTCTATTCTTTAAAGAATTTACATGAACATATGTCAGCAAAACAGATCACAATATTTAGAGTGATGAATGTGGCCTTATCTTTAAAAGTAATGCCATCAATATGCATTCTGCTCGTCCAAACCACTGACCTCTATTTAGTCACTGGGGTTGAGTGAAGCCACTGGCCGCCATATTGGTACTCCCTAGTTAGACTGGTCACAGCGTAAACAATACGTGCGCTACAGTGAGCGGGCTTAAGACTTTTAAAAAAAAGATAAATTTATAACTTGGACAAACATTTGCTTTTTCATAGCATAAGTAGATTACTGTAACTTATAATAAAAAATAGGCACATCACATTGCATAGTCAGTATTAAGTCTATAGTCATGACGACCACTTTTTTTCCAACAGTGTCCAGTCTGGTAATGTGGCAATAAGAATAATTGTCTTGATGCCAAAAAGAGCCCAACACATTTTACTTTCACAAGTGGAGCAGTACGGCTATCGCCATAGTGTTCTGCTTGACTTATGCATATAAATAACTTTAGTATAATTCGTGCAGGGAGTATTACAGACTATATGGACACTGCAATGGGAAAGTAGAACAGGAAAGGAAAAAGGAGAAAAGATAAAAGAAAGAGCAGATAAAAGGGAGCCATATACTTTTATGCTCTGTCTGTGCATTAGCCTTTAAAAATGTTTGAGTTCCTTTTTTTTTTGTCTATAAGTCAGGCAAAATATTTCAGCACATGACTTTTTCAGATAAGAAATACAACAAACACTACAAAAAACTACATTGACATTTCACAGTGAATAACTTTCTATTTTCTAACATTAGACACAATGTCAATGGCCATCTCAGTCAATATCTTCAAGTCAGTGCGAGATAGCCAGATTAAGGTTACGCTACATGCTCTACTATAGGATACATTGGGGTATATATGGATTTTCTTGGTTAGTTCATCCACTGACTGTGAAATTACCTGTGAAATGCAAACTGCTTGTTTTTGTCAAGTGCTACACATGTAGGCGTTTTTATGGGGTGTCTCCATAGGAGTGGGGAGTACCAATATGGCAGCCGGTGGCTCAATTATTTTTAGAATACAAGCAATCCAGTGAATAAATAGAGATCAATGGTCCAAACTGGTCTGCTAGCAGATTTCAAAGCTCCAAGACTGATTGGTTTTGTGACAGTGCAGTGGCCTTTCAGGGACGCTAAACCTGGACATTTCTGGGGGGGTTTTCCTGCGTTTTTTTCTGCGTTCCCCTTAGGGAGCAGTGTTGGGTTAAGGGTCTTTGCTCAGCGTGCAAGCTGTGGGAGTGGGTTTCAAACTCACAACCTGAGGATTCCTAACTCTATGCCCTAACCACTAGGCCACCACCACCAGGGGGCAATCAAGTTACACAGTTTGATTGCCCCCTGGTGGCTAAAATCACCGGTTTGCTCACCAGTGTTTTCTGACCGTCCTCACAGAACAGCTGGATTCTTACTCACATTAAGACTAATTTATTGCACATATTGTTCCATTTTCACTTTTAAAATTTTATTTGTTAAACAAATTGAATGAAAATAATATTTTCATTCCACTTTAAAATTACATGCTAATAGAAGCCCACAATGCATAACGTGGAAGTGTATTTCTGTAATCTGACAATTGGGAAAACTTTTAAGGGGTTTTAATGTTTTCATTGAACAACAAATGCTTTGAAAGCTGTCTCTTAATACTGATGTATTTATAAAAACATTCTTTTTTGGCAGGGGGGCGTCTTTCGACAGTCCTGAGAGAAGTCAACCTTGGGTTGGTAGAACAAGCCAAGTGTAAATACACGCTAAGGACGATCATAAGCTCATTTGCAAAACAGAAACAAAGATTGCGCAACGCAGGTATGACGGTTCTTTGTGCTGGACCAGAAGAAGGAGGAAGAGACGCCTGCCAGGTAGAAGTGATTCATTCTGTTTCTAACATCTGTCTGCTTCAGTTGGAGCCCATCAGTTTGGCACCGCTTCATCAGCTGTAGCATTCTAAATATCTTCCCTCCACACTTTATCTTTCCTGAAGGGAGACTCCGGGGGTCCTCTGGTATGTCCTACAGGGTCAGGAAATGGTAACTGGGTTGCACTGGGAATAACTTCCTGGGGTAAAGGCTGTGGAAGGAGCTGGGGAAGTAACAGCCGCCGGACTCCATCAAAGAGAGGATCTCCTGGGATTTTCACTGATGTCAGGATGCTGCTACCCTGGATCAAGCAGAAGCTGAGGCAGGGTATATAGGCCAACATGATTGTTTTATAATAAAGCAGCCAAGATAGTCCTTTTTACTGTTTTTTTAACTGTGTGATATGTTAGACGTGTGATGACACACAAAATCGTATTTATTCAATAGGCCCAAACTCTGAATGAGATGTAAGTCAAAAGGAATCTTAATGAGACGTAATTTTCTAAGCAGGTTTCTGCTCTAAGTAGCAGGGCAAGTTTATTAAAAATAATGGCACATTTCATGGTAGGAAAAACAGCTTCATGAGAAAAAAGAGAAAAGTACATTGACGTGACAAAATAAGACAAAACAAATAGTTAAAGAGAATCAAAGTGTGTAATAAAAATTAGGTTTTTGTATTAAAAGAAAAGAGGAAATAATTCATGAAAGATGAAAGTTGGATGGAAAACTTAACTAATAATGTTTGATCGACCTAAAACCAGTCTGTAATTTTGTAGCTATGCTATTCAGTAATTTCTAGACTAACAAAAGGATTTTAAAGTCTATTCTCTTGTCTATTTTGATTCTGTCTTCTGTATAGTTATGGGAGATAAAATTGTTTTTTATTATCTTAGATACAAAATGTTTTACTAATCAGACAGGGTAAAGAATAAACAGTTTCTGTATAATTATTGTAAATTACTGTGATTATTTTTACTGCAGTTAAGCTCAAATTATTTGCATTTTTCTAGCTTTTAAAAACAGTAAAAAAAAAAGGGGTTTACAGCAGTTTTGGTAACGATGAATATCTGAGTCTCTGTTTCGCCATCATACAAAATATACAGACATACAAAATATGTGAGTCAGTAGGATCCTAGATACTTTAAACATAGCTTTAGTATCTTTAAAGTAGTATGCTACTGAAGATTTTTTTCATTTATGATTTGAAGGTTTATCTTTCCTAATGAATTTACTGATATATTTATAGGGAAATAGTCTGCTCATCTTTTTTATTACTTTCATCTTGATATTATAAGCAGTTAAACATCCATCCATCCATTTTCAGACACGCTTAATCCAAAGTGGGGTCGCGAGGGGTGCTGGTGCCTATCTCCAGCTGTTTATGGGCGACAGGTGGGGCACATCCTGGACAGGTTGGCGAGTCATCGCAGGGCAACCCAGAGACACACAACTATTTATTCAAACACAAACCTCAGGGTCATTTAGAGACGACAGTCAAACTACCACTATGTCATTAAACAAGGATAACTTGTTTTGCAGTTGGCACCTAAGGGGGAACTAATGAAAATCAGTTTGCTCTCAACCCCCATCCTTTTTTTTATTGCATTATGTAACCTATAAACATATGAAGCTGATGGAAGATAAAACTGTTCCTGAATACAGCGGCTTGTGAAAGAATTCATCCCACTTGAACTTTTCGACCTTCTGCCACATTTCAGGCTTCAAACTTAAAGATTCAAATGTTGATTTTTTGTGAAGAATAAAAAACAAGCGTAATATAATCATGAAGTGGAATTGAATTTATTGGTTATTTTAAACTTTAACAAATAAAAAACTTGAGAGTGGGGCATGCACAACCAATTTGCCTCTTTACTTTCAGTGCAGCAAACCCTCTGAATGATCTAATATTGACCTAAATGATGATGATAAATAGACTCATCTGTGATCGTCTCAGAGGTCTGTTTAAAGATTACAGAGAATCATGAAGAACAAGAACGCAGGCCTGAGATTCTTTTGTGGAGAAGTTTAAAGCAAGATTTGGATACAAAAAGATTTCCAAAGATTTAAAAATCCCTAGGAACATTATACTATTTTAATGGAAGGAGTATTAGACCGCTGCGAATCTACAAAGATCCAGCCGTCCTTCTAAACTTTTGAGCTCAAACAAGGAGAAGACTGATTAGAGATGCAGCTAAGAGTCCCATTATCACTCTGGATGAACTACAGAGATCTACAGCTGAGGAGGGGGACTCTGACTGGAGGACAACAATCATTCTGCACAATTCTGGCCTTTCTGAAAGGGAGACATTTCTCAAAGATATCCATAAAAAGTCTTCTTTAAAGTTTGCCAGAAGCCACCTGGGAGACACAGCAAACGTGGATGAAGGTACAATATTTATAGTTTAGAAGCACCACAACTCATCAACCTAAACACACCATCCCCACTGTGAAACATGGTGGTGGCAGCATCATGGTTTTGGCCCGCTTTTCTTCAGCAGGAAAAGGGGAAAATGGTTACAATTGATGGGAAGATAGCACCTGTTGACCAGGTGCTAGAATGGCCTAGTCAAAGTCCAGACCTGGATCCAATCGAGATCTAAAACAACTGCTGTTCACAAACGCTCTCCATGCAACCTCACTGAGCTCCAGCTGAGACATACCCCAAGCGACTGGCAGCTGTAATCGCAGCAAAAGGTGGCGCTACAAAGTATCTGAATAATTTTGTACACCCAAATTTTTGCTCTTTACTTGTTGAAAAATGTAAACTAACCAATATGTTAATTCCACTTCAGGATTGTGTCCCAGTTGTTGTTGATTCTTCACAAAGAATTACAATATATTATTTATGAAGCCTTAAATGCACTACTTTGGCGAGGCACTGTACCTGCTTACAAACCTGCAATATTAAAGCATTAAAGCATGTTCAAAATAAAAAAACAAAGAAATAAAAGTGATTTAACACCAATTTCAACATATCACTAAAGCCAAATGTTTGAAAATACGAGTCACCTGAAAGGTCATCAGTGAATTCTGTGAATGTGAACAATAAATGAATAACCTTTCAATTAACAGTTTAATTTCCCATAAATTAAATCAAAGTATCTTAATGCTTGTGTAGTGCTCTGTACTATTAAATAATGTATTTAATATATTTTGACTAAAATGCATACATCTGTTAAACAAGCTGTTGATCTTTTTTCTCTGTGGATTTTTTGTGTCTCCCTTAGCTGAGCAGCAGCAGCAAAACACATCGGGTGAGGCCTCCTTTTCTCACCAGTTCTTATTCGTGTTTATTTCATAACATGCACATGTGTTATCTATGCATGCTTGTCAGGACTTTGCAGCGTAAGAGATGGGCTGCTCTCTGAAAACCAAGGTTGGATCTGGAACCCCAGTCTTCCTAACACCCACTATGACAATAACCAGTGAGTGAATTCTTGATGAAGGAAGAATCCTCTAAGCTGGTGCAGCATCAGGAACAGATCATAAATGGAAAGATAAATGAACTAGTAAAAAAGCAAAACAGTAAACGACTTGGTGTATTCTTCTGCAGGTTGTGTTTGTGGAGCATCATTGTTCCTCCAGGTTACAGTATTCTCCTGGAGTTTGAGCATTTTGATGTGGAAAATGACTCTTCTTGTCTGTATGACCGGCTCACAGTCTCAGGATCAACACACAGGCCTGTTGGTGAGTATTCTTACCTTCTCCCTCTGTCCCAGGAGGTATTTTTCCATATAGCACCATTCATACACAATGCAATCAAAAGGATTTACAGGACGTTGAAGGAAAAACAACAGGAAAACAAAAACTTTATTCTGTGATCAACATGTAAAAATCCTTTTTTTTTTAGAAGAAAAAAATGTATTTAAAGAATCTCCCGCAATAGATTAATAAAGTAATTGTGATTCTGAAACGGCTACTCAGTTGCACAGTGGGTAGCACTGCTGCCTTACAGCAAGAAGGTTCTGGGTTTGATTCCCAGCCCAGGGTCTTTCTGCATGGAGTTTGCATGTTCTCCTTGAGCATCCCTGGGTTCTCTCCGGGTACTCCGGCTTGCTCCAACAGTCCAAAAACATGGCTGTTAGGTTAATTGGCTTCTCTACAGTCCCCTTAGGTGTGAGTGTGTGTGTGTGAATGGTTGTTTGTCCTGTGTGTCTCTGTGTTGCCCTGCGATGAACTGCCGACCTGTCCAGGGTGGACCCCGCCTCTCACCCCTCCTGACCCCACTTGGGATAAGCGTGCTAGAAGATGGATGGATGATTTTGAAACATGTAAAATTGCTGGATCCAACCACAAGGTTTTCTAGGCAAGTTATTTTAGAACTGGCATAGTATGTTGCCGGTATATACCGGAAGTGGCAGCTGCCTGATTTCCCTGTACATAGACCAGTAAAGACACACTGCAGTAGCTATGTACTGTGGGGGAGTGTTGGCCTAGTGCTTAGAGCAGTGCACTGGTGCTCTGAGAAGGTTGCAAGTACCCGATTCGATCCACACAGCCTGCACTCTGAGTCTCTGAGCAAGACCCTTCGCCCAACACTGCTCCCCTTGGCTCCCCATGGCGATGGACTAAATGCAGAAAGTTGTCTTCTCCATTATGAGATCAATAAATCTCAATTTCTATCCTTTTTCTATCTGATCTACTGAAAATAGAACCATTCAGTGTTTTTTCTGTATCCTTTTATGACTCTTTACTCTGACAATGTTTCTAAGATCACAGTAAACTTATCTGGTAACAAACAGCATACTCTGTGGTATTTATATCCATCTGTCTACAGCTATTGTAGTAATCTGTAATCTTAGCTAAACATTTGTATTGTTTGGGAAACTTTTTTCCCCTTATATTTATATTTTGATCATTTAGAACTTATGTTTAAAATACTATAGAGCTGTTTTTGTTCAGCTCACCTTTATAAAATTAGATTTAAAATCTCACTGGCTTTTACCTGGTGAAATACAAAAAAAAAATGTATATATTTTAACTTTTGAATCAAAAGCATTCATTTTTCAGAAATAAATCATCCATACATTGCCTAGAGTGGTGGACAATGCAAGTATTAATATTACTGAAAAAATGTAATATAACAGCAAATTTTCTGTATAAAATATAATTGGTTATCATGCCAATGTCAGCAATCAGGATTCTGCACCAATAGGAATGTTAGGTTGAAGTCAAGGAGCTCAGGCATTGATAGATACCAGCAGTTCGGTGATAGAGCTGAGAAATAACTCCATAAAGAGCATTAGAAGAGGCAGATCTGGCATCCATCTGGCAAACATTCAGTTAAGCAGATGAGTGCGAGTTTGCATCTTACTGGGCAGGGGGAACAAACTTGCAGCTATCATCTTTAAGTAAATATTCCCACAAGTCTTGTTTTTTTTTGTCAACCCAGAAGCATCTGTTCCCCAAAAGAGAACTTAGTTTGGCACAAAACTCCCATGCATTATCCAGTCTTTCGTTTAGTATAATATAATAACCATGCAGCACTGAGGTTAAGAGATACCATAGCAGTAGTTCTAGAACAATCATTAAAAAGATGCATGTCATTCAGAATGTCTTTCAGCTGTAGCTTCAGCACTATGGAATAATTTAAAGCCTGGCTGGAAAGCACTGAAGATGCTACCTCATGTCATACATTTGTCCATAATATTTAATGATTCAGCAGATTTTTGCCAAAATGTTCAGTTAAAATGAGCCTGTAATTATGCATTTATGGTGCATTTAGACTTTGTGGGGTTAGAAAAGTGCAGTTTTCAGGACAGGAAAACTTTTTTTAATTTAGAAACTTAAAACTTAAATTATGTACTTTTATTAATAAGAGATGCAAACCAAGAAAAATTGACTTTTTGACAAAAAATGATCAAAATTTAAAAGAAAAATGACTTAAAATATTCAAAACACAAAAGAGCAAATTAATAAAGGTAAACTTGTTATAGAATAGAACAAAACTGAAGTTCACCTGTGTCCTGCTGTGTTTCTGTTTACAGCAATACTCTGCGGTCAGTTATTACCAGGCCCAGTGCTTCTACAGAATTCCCAGAATGCAATACTGCTCTTCTCCTCTGACATTAACAGAACAGGGCAAGGCTTTGCACTCAGGCATCGAGGCGTCAAGAGACACTTTCCTCCAGGTATGGAGCAAAACACCTCCAGCAACACCGGAACAGTGTCGGGAAAAACACTGCATATGTAGAAAATGTTTTATGCTTTTATTTTTCATAGAATCTACAAAATAACATGATACAGTATGCTTCTGGAGACTAAAATATGTGGATGGACAAAAAAGAAGCATCCAGCCATGGTTTTGTGTTTTTGCCACGATTATTGTTGCTTTGTTTACTAGTGTTTTAGTGAAAGCTATTAAGTTTGGTAGTTAAGTTTAGTTCATTTAAAAAGTTTAACAGGTTTCAGGAGCAGGGAGCTGAGTGAAAAAAATGTCTTTCTTGCTCCATTCAGTCCGAGGAAAAGGGACAGGAAGAAGCAGCAGAGTCAAAATGTCTCAGTGTGATTGTAGAACTGGTATTTGCTAGAAGCAGTCCAGTAATGCCTTGTAAATAAAAGTTAACCAATGGGAATTCCTTTTAGTAGCCAAACCAAACCATAACAGCTGCGACTATAAATCACAACAGTGTGTTCACAATTCACAGTAATGAACGTCAGAGAGGAGAGATTAACAGAGTCAAGCATCATTCTGAAGAAGCAATCACATACAATCCATTTAATTACAAGCTGATTTTCTTGAAGCTTAAGGAAAACATAACTTGTTTGGAAAATGAAACCCTGCTTCAATTTAAGCCTATTTACAAGATTTTCCACTCGGGGTTTAAAAGTGAGGACATCCTCAATCAAAATGCTCAGATATTTCATTTCCTCAGCAGATTGAAACCCCTTAGATCTGGAAAAATACATTCTCAGAATTAGAAACAAGTTTCAAATTAAAAAAAAAAGCATTCGGTTGTCTTCCTCCACTGAAATAAATAAAAGAATCATCTGCATAAAATTGTAAGTCTGCATCAGGCCAATTCTGCCCTTATTTATGGTAAATGGCATGTACTTATATAGCACCTTTATTCAAGTTAGGAGACTTGACCAAAGCACTTTACACTAAATTCATTCACCCATTCACACACTGATAGTGGCAAGCTACATTGTAGCCACAGCTGCCCCGGGGCTCACTGACAGAAGTGGGGCTGCCGTACACTGGCACCACCGGGCCCTCTGACCACCATCAGTAGACAATGCAGGTGAAGTGTCTTGCCCAAGGACACAACGACACTGAAAGTCGGAGTCTGGGCTTGAACCGTCAACACTTCGATTTCAGGGCAAACTCCTACATCCAACGCCACTGTCGCCCCTTATATATAATTATACATATAAGAGGACCTAATATCGATCCATGTGGCACCCCGCTGTGAACATCTACAGCAGCACAACAAATATCATCATATTTAATGCAATTTGCCTTATTTTTGTTATATGTTTGAACCAGGCAACGTTTCTCCGAAAAACTGTAGAGCTGAAGTCTAACTATCAAAGCTTAATAATTCACAGGATAAACAGATGCTGATAAATTTATAAAAAGAAACTAATGTTATTTTATTTTATCAAGAGAAACAATAATGTCATATACCACCTTTGACAGAACTATTAGGGAAACATGGCTCTTTCTAAAACCTGATGGAAAGGACTGAGATGAGATTATTGTGAGTTACAAATGCTTTTACATGGTCACCCATAAATAGTCTGTTTACACATACAAAGAATAAATCTGTGCTAAATTAAGCTGTAAGTGCAATCTGTGATCTTGGGTCCTATTGGCTGATTGGTTAATGTCACATCAATCACAAATCTAACCATCCAATTGCATAACAGACGCGTTTTGCTGTCAGAGACAGGAAAACACTACAGAACTGCAAGTACTAGAAGAACAATGCTTGTTAAAGAAGAGCGTTCTGCTGCTCATAGAGGTAAAAGACATCAAATCAAAAACAAAATCATTCTCCATTTTTAAAGAATAAATATTCAACCAGACCAATATCTTTTGATTACAAATTAATTGAAAATAAACTTGCTGCCATGGCTTATGCAAATTTTAAAGCTGTCTGTGTAGATACAGCCTGTAAGCTCGAAAGAACTAAAGCAGATATTGTGAAGAAGAATGATCCCAAATTATTTTTTCGACTTAGAATTGGACAAACTTTAGTGTCATTTTATCTGCACAGTGTGTATAAAAAAGGAAATTTCATTTATACAGCTTTCCAACATTAAATGAGCAGCAGCTTAGGAGTGAAAAAGAACATTTACATTCATAAAGTGCAGCAGTGATCAAATTTAAACAGTATAGGAGAGACATGGTGCAAAAAGGCATTGATGTGGAAGGTTCAGAGTGCAAAAATAAATAAATAGATATGGTACAAAACACAGTGAAATTATTTCAGTGTCTTGAAAGATTAAGTCAATCAAAGACAACGCAGTTAAATAACTTTCTTTATTGTTTTTGTTTCTATTCAGTCCTATTATAATTGCTCCTTTGCTTCTTTATCTGTTAAAAATTATTTGCTCTTCTTCCAAATTATCTATGGTTCTGATCTGGCTTCAGTTTAGCATTTCTATCTTTGTCAAAACAAAAACACTAATCAGACTCCATTTCCATTCAACGCTAATTTAAATCACAAGGAGCAAAATATGAAGGAAACAAAGGAGGAGAAAAAGTGTTTGCACTGTATGGTACAAGTGGACCACTGTGTTGTTACATTATATAAGCAAATTTCCCATGACTTGATGTCCCAAAAACAGATTCTATATGAAAGGCAGTGAAGATGATGAATCTCGCTGCTTAAGAAGCTTTTTTCCTGTAAGTATGCTTAATCTAATTGCCCCCTTTGAGGTTAAAACACGTGTACCCGTTCTTGTGTTTTTCCCACACTGTGTGTCTCATTAGCATGTGGGATCCTGGTTCTGGTTGAGGATCAGGTTTCAATCCATACTCCAAATTACCCACAATCCTATGGTGATAACTGTACACTCCGCTGGGTCATCTACGCTCCTCCTGGACAGATAGATAAGGTAATTAAGTGCTCAATAAACACATCTTTGAAAAAAAAAGAATAAACCTTGCCTGTATGCTTTTAAATCTGAAGTTTTATTACAGCTGGACTTTGCTGATTTTGACCTCGAGGAATCAGAGAGATGTTTGTATGATTCACTGACAGTTCTAGGAGACATTGAAGGACACCAAGAGATTGGTAAGATGAATGAGTTAGATTGTGTGAGCTTAAAATAATATAAAGGTTAAATGGTCACTATATAAGACAGTTATGTCAGGATGTATAATCATCTGACTGTTAAGGGGAAGAGATTTTATTTCAAAATGAATCTGTTCCTCGTAGTGGGAAAAATGAATTTGATTGTTACTATTTCTTGCTTTTGAGTACAAGATGTTTCAAGGTGGCTTGTGTGAATTTCTTGAGGGGTCAGCACTTTCCCTTATATATATCAAATATTTACCATCCTTTTTTTGGGGGGCGGTGTCAGGATTTATTTCATCCTAAATCATTCCAAAATGTATATGCAGATGGCCCTGTGGCTTAGTTGGTCAAAGTGCCTGTCTCGTAAACAGGAGAACCTGGGTTCGAATCCCAGCAGTGCCTTTTAAATAAGTATTCACACTTTGGTGGTCATGATGTCCAGTCTTCTTGTAAATCATCTTGAAGAACCTCATGGAAAAATATCATCTAGCCTTCATATTTCTCAGTTGGTCCTTCTCAGCCATCTACAACTAAATAATAGGAACCTGTTTCTTCATATGGCGGTACACTTATTCGGCACACTAATTTTCTTTCCCTGCTTTTTCCCAAACTGCGACACAGCCACAAAGTGGCACGTGCAAAGTGCACTGTACTTTAATACCTCAAACACTTGAATTGTAGCTGATATCTCATCTGCTAAGCTGTGCTTGTTATCTGGATCATACCTTTAAAGCAGCTGCTATTGGTACTTACCTTGAACTTTTCTCTCATTTCCAAAGTAGTCCTGGACCAGTGCTTCTGTATCCATTTTTATGTAAGTGCTCTGTCTGTTTCAACACAGAGTCTGTCGTGGCAGAATCTTATTAACCCTGAGCGTCCTTCTGGCCCATATCATGCAAAAACACTACCAGAAAATGATTTTGGCTTTGCAATTTTTTTGAAGATGAATACCTTATGAAATTCTTTGAAAATTGATTCAACTAACTGCTGGGTATGGTTTGTAGCAATGTATTTTTTGTGTCTAATATTGCTGGGCTAACCTTTCAAAGGTCAACAACTAAAGACATCTAACTTTGTGATGCTTTGGCTTGGCATAGACCTTAGCTGTGGCTGGATCAATATAGTACACTTCTTTAAAATAATATAAAGGTGAAATGGTCACTATATAAGACAGTTATGTCAGGATGTATAATCATCTGACTGTTAAGGGGAGGAGATTTTATTTCAAAATGAATCTGTTCCTCGTAGTGGGAAAAATGAATTTGACCTTTAGCATTGTTACTATTTCTTGCTTTTGAGTACAAGACGTTTCAAGGTGGCTTGTGTGAATTTCTTGAGGGGTCAGCACTTTCCCTTAAAGTTTAGGTGCTGTGGCTTAGTTGGTCAAAGTCCCTGTCTATTAAACAGGAGATCCTGGGTTCAAATCCCAGCAGTGCCTGACCTGTTGTTATGCAAACGTCCGTGACTAGTTTATTTAGCACCAAATATTTACCATCTTTTTTCGGGGGGTGTCAGGATTTATTTTATCCTAAATCATTTCAAAATGTATATGCAGATGGCGCTGTGGCTTAGTTGGTCAAAGTGCCTGTCTAGTAAACAGTAGATCCTGGGTTCAAATCCCAGCAGTACCTGACCTGTTGTTATGCAAACTTCCTTGACTAGTTTATTTAGCACCAAATATTTACCATCTTTTTTTGGGGGGGTGTCAGGATTTATTTGATCCTAAATCATTTCAAAATGTATATACAGATGGCGCTGGGGCTTAGTTGGTCAAAGTGCCTGTCTCGTAAACAGGAGATCCTGGGTTCAAATCCCAGCAGTGCCTTTTAACTAAGCATTCACACTTTGGTGGTCATGATGTCCAGTCTTCTTGTAAATCATCTTGAAGAACCTCATGGAAAAATATCATCTAGCCTTCATATTTCTCAGTTGGTCCTTCTCAGCCATCTACAACTAAATAATAGGAACCTGTTTCTTCATATGGCGGCACACTTAAACTTATCAACACTCATTTCCTTTCCCTGCTTTTTCCCAAACAGCGACACAGCCACAAAATGGCACGTGCAAAACGCACTATACTTTAATACCTCAAACACTTGAATTGTAGCTGATATCTCATCTGCTAAGCTGTGCTTGTTATCTGGATCATACCTTTAAAGCAGCTGCTATTGGTACTTACCTTGAACTTTTCTCTCATTTCCAAAGTAGTGCTGGACCAGTGCTTCTGTATCCATTTTTATGTAAGTGCTCTGTCTGTTTCAACACAGAGTCTGTTGTGGCAGAATCTTATTAACCCTGAGCGTCCTTCTGGCCCAGATCATGCAAAAACACTACCAGAAAATGATTTTGGCTTTGCAATTTTTTTGAAGATGAATACCTTATGAAATTCTTTGAAAATTGATTCAACTAACTGCTGGGTATGGTTTGTAGCAATGTATTTTTTGTGTCTAATATTGCTGGGCTAACCTTTCAAAGGTCAACAACTAAAGACATCTAACTTTGTGACGCTTTGGCTTGGCATAGACCTTAGCTGTGGCTGGATCATTACAGTACACTTCTTTAAAATAATATAAAGGCGAAATGGTCACTATATAAGACAGTTATGTCAGGATGTATAATCATCTGACTGTTAAGGGGAAGAGATTTTATTTCAAAATGAATCTGTTCCTCGTAGTGGGAAAAATGAATTTGACCTTTAGCATTGTTACTATTTCTTGCTTTTGAGTACAAGACGTTTCAAGGTGGCTTGTGTGAATTTCTTGATGGGTCAGCACTTTCCCTTAAAGTTTAGGTGCTGTGGCTTAGTTGGTCAAAGTGCCTGTCTCGTAAACAGGAGATCCTGGGTTCAAATCCCAGCAGTACCTGACCTGTTGTTATGCAAACGTCAGTGACTAGTTTATTTAGCACCAAATATTTACCATCTTTTTTTGGGGGGGTGTCAGGATTTATTTGATCCTAAATCATTTCAAAATGTATATACAGATGGCGCTGGGGCTTAGTTGGTCAAAGTGCCTGTCTCGTAAACAGGAGATCCTGGGTTCAAATCCCAGCAGTGCCTTTTAACTAAGCATTCACACTTTGGTGGTCATGATGTCCAGTCTTCTTGTAAATCATCTTGAAGAACCTCATGGAAAAATATCATCTAGCCTTCATATTTCTCAGTTGGTCCTTCTCAGCCATCTACAACTAAATAATAGGAACCTGTTCATATGGCGGCACACTTAAACTTATCAACACTCATTTCCTTTCCCTTCTTTTTCCCAAACGGTGACACAGCCACAAAATGGCACGTGCAAAACGCACTATACTTTAATACCTCAAACACTTGAATTGTAGCTGATATCTCATCTGCTAAGCTGTGCTTGTTATCTGGATCATACCTTTAAAGCAGCTGCTATTGGTACTTACCTTGAACTTTTCTCTCATTTCCAAAGTAGTCCTGGACCAGTGCTTCTGTGTCCATTTTTATGTAAGTGCTCTGTCTGTTTCAACACAGAGTCTGTCGTGGCAGAATCTTATTAACCCTGAGCGTCCTTCTGGCCCAGATCATGCAAAAACACTACCAGAAAATGATTTTGGCTTTGCAATTTTTTTGAAGATGAATACCTTATGAAATTCTTTGAAAATTGATTCAACTAACTGCTGGGTATGGTTTGTAGCAATGTATTTTTTGTGTCTAATATTGCTGGGCTAACCTTTCAAAGGTCAACAACTAAAGACATCTAACTTTGTGACGCTTTGGCTTGGCATAGACCTTAGCTGTGGCTGGATCAATACAGTACACTTCTTTAAAATAATATAAAGGTGAAATGGTCACTATATAAGACAGTTATGTCAGGATGTATAATCATCTGACTGTTAAGGGGAGATTTTATTTCAAAATGAATCTGTTCCTCGTAGTGGGAAAAATGAATTTGACCTTTAGCATTGTTACTATTTCTTGCTTTTGAGTACAAGACGTTTCAAGGTGGCTTGTGTGAATTTCTTGAGGGGTCAGCACTTTCCCTTAAATTTTAGGTGCTGTGGCTTAGTTGGTCAAAGTCCCTGTCTATTAAACAGGAGATCCTGGGTTCAAATCCCAGCAGTGCCTGACCTGTTGTTATGCAAACGTCAGTGACTAGTTTATTTAGCACCAAATATTTACCATCTTTTTTTGGGGGGGTGTCAGGATGTATTTGATCCTAAATCATTTCAAAATATATATGCCGATGGCGCTGTGGCTTAGTTGGTCAAAGTGCCTGTCTCGTAAACAGGAGATCCTGGGTTCAAATCCCAGCAGTGCCTTTTAACTAAGCATTCACAATTTGGTGGTCATGATGTCCAGTCTTCTTGTAAATCATCTTGAAGAACCTCATGGAAAAATATCATCTAGCCTTCATATTTCTCAGTTGGTCCTTCTCAGCCATCTACAACTAAATAATAGGAACCTGTTTCTTCATATGGCGGCACACTTAAACTTATCAACACTCATTTCCTTTCCCTGCTTTTTCCCAAACGGCGACACAGCCACAAAATGGCACGTGCAAAGTGCACTATACTTTAATACTTCAAACACTTGAATTGTAGCTGATATCTCATCTGCTAAGCTGTGCTTGTTATCTGGATCACACCTTTAAAGCAGCTGCTATTGGTACTTACCTTGAACTTTTCTCTCATTTCCAAAGTAGTCCTGGACCAGTGCTTCTGTGTCCATTTTTATGTAAGTGCTCTGTCTGTTTCAACACAGAGTCTGTCGTGGCAGAATCTTATTAACCCTGAGCGTCCTTCTGGCCCAGATCATGCAAAAACACTACCAGAAAATGATTTTGGCTTTGCAATTTTTTTGAAGATGAATACCTTATGAAATTCTTTGAAAATTGATTCAACTAACTGCTGGGTATGGTTTGTAGCAATGTATTTTTTGTGTCTAATATTGCTGGGCTAACCTTTCAAAGGTCAACAACTAAAGACATCTAACTTTGTGACGCTTTGGCTTGGCATAGACCTTAGCTGTGGCTGGATCAATACAGTACGCTTCTTTAAAATAATATAAAGGTGAAATGGTCACTATATAAGACAGTTATGTCAGGATGTATAATCATCTGACTGTTAAGGGGAGGAGATTTTATTTCAAAATGAATCTGTTCCTCGTAGTGGGAAAAATGAATTTGACCTTTAGCATTGTTACTATTTCTTGCTTTTGAGTACAAGACGTTTCAAGGTGGCTTGTGTGAATTTCTTGATGGGTCAGCACTTTCCCTTAAAGTTTAGGTGCTGTGGCTTAGTTGGTCAAAGTCCCTGTCTAGTAAACAGGAGATCCTGGGTTCAAATCCCAGCAGTCCCTGACCTGTTGTTATGCAAACGTCCGTGACTAGTTTATTTAGCACCAAATATTTACCATCTTTTTTCGGGGGGGTGTCAGGATTTATTTGATCCTAAATCATTTCAAAATGTATATACAGATGGCGCTGTGGCTTAGTTGGTCAAAGTGCCTGTCTTGTAAACAGGAGATCCTGAGTTCAAATCCCAGCATTGCCTTTTAACTAAGCATTCACACTTTGGTGGTCATGATGTCCAGTCTTCTTGTAAATCATCTTGAAGAACCTCATGGAAAAATATCATCTAGCCTTCATATTTCTCAGTTGGTCCTTCTCAGCCATCTACAACTAAATAATAGGAACCTGTTCATATGGCGGCACACTTAAACTTATCAACACTCATTTCCTTTCCCTTCTTTTTCCCAAACGGTGACACAGCCACAAAATGGCACGTGCAAAACGCACTATACTTTAATACCTCAAACACTTGAATTGTAGCTGATATCTCATCTGCTAAGCTGTGCTTGTTATCTGGATCATACCTTTAAAGCAGCAGCTATTGGTACTTACCTTGAACTTTTCTCTCATTTCCAAAGTAGTGCTTGCCCAGTGCTTCTGTATCAATTTTTATGTAAGTGCTCTGTCTGTTTCAACACCGAGTCGGTCGTCACCCTGAGCATCCTTCTGGCTCAGATCATGCATAAACACTACCAGCAATTGATTTTGGCTTTGCAATTTCTTTAAAGATGAATACCTTATGAAATTCTTTGAAAATTGATTCAACTAACTGCTGGGTATGGTTTGTAGCAATGTATTTTTTGTGTCTAATATTGCTGGGCTAACCTTTCAAAGGTCAACAACTAAAGACATCTAACTTTGTGACGCTTTGGCTTGGCATAGACCTTAGCTGTGGCTGGATCATTACAGTACACTTCTTTAAAATAATATAAAGGCGAAATGGTCACTATATAAGACAGTTATGTCAGGATGTATAATCATCTGACTGTTAAGGGGAGGAGATTTTATTTCAAAATGAATCTGTTCCTCGTAGTGGGAAAAATGAATTTGACCTTTAGCATTGTTACTATTTCTTGCTTTTGAGTACAAGACGTTTAAAGGTGGCTTGTGTGAATTTTTTGAGGGGTCAGCACCCTCCCTTAAAGTTTAGGTGCTGTGGCTTAGTTGGTCAAAGTGCCTGTCTAGTAAACAGTAGATCCTGGGTTCAAATCCCAGCAGTACCTGACCTGTTGTTATGCAAACTTCCTTGACTAGTTTATTTAGCACCAAATATTTACCATCCTTTTTTTGGGGGGGTGTCAGGATTTATTTTATCCAAAATCATTTCAAAATGTATATGCAGAAGGCGCTGTGGCTTAGTTGGTCAAAGTGCCTGTCTCGTAAACAGGAGAACCTGGGTCAAATCCCGGCAGTGCCTTTTAACTAATCATTCACACTTTGGTGGTCATGATGTCCAGTCTTCTTGTAAATCATCTTGAAGAAGCTCATGGAAAAATATCATCTAGCCTTCATATTTTTCAGTTGGTCCTTCTCAGCCATCTACAACTAAATAATAGGAACCTGTTTCTTCATATGGCGGCACACTTAAACTTATCAACACTCATTTCCTTTCCCTGCTTTTTCCCAAACTGCGACACAGCCACAAAATGGCACGTGCAAAGTGCACTGTACTTTAATACCTCAAACACTTGAATTGTAGCTGATATCTCATCTGCTAAGCCAGTGGTTCCCAAAGATTTTCTTCTGGGCCCCCCTTTGGATTACAATAAAATTTCCACGCCCCCCCCCAACCAACCGCCCCCCCCCCCCCCAAAAAAAAAAAAAAAAAAAGAAGAAACTGGGCACACCCATCGTTCAACCAGATATAATAAATCTATACACATATTTTGTTTTCAAACTCCACTGAAGTTTATTTCACACTTCAGGTTGCAGCAAAACAAACTACACCATCTTTACAGTGGAACACTTTTGTGTAACTGTATTTTTTTCATAGTTCTATAATGTAGATTAGAAGAGGATTCTTTGTTGTCTGTGTTATTTTAAACATATTTCTTTTTTTTATTTGTAACAATATTTACCTTTGCTATAATCTATACATTAAAAAAGCCTCTGTGCAAAATGGAGAGAAAACATTGAACAGCTCCCTGAGAGTTTTTTCTTTGTACTTTAATCCTCCCATCTTTTCATTGGCTGTAGTGAGCCTGCTTTTTGCTGTAGATCTTCTCAAATCTGGGTTGCAGTGTCACAACTGTCCATTATGCTCAGTCAAGCAAGCGCTGTTTTTTTCTTCATTCATCCATACCGCTTCCCGCGCCCCCCCTGCAATGGCATAGCGCCCCCCCTAGGGGGCGCGCCCCACACTTTGGGAACCACTGTGCTAAGCTGTGCTTGTTATCTGGATCACACCTTTAAAGCAGCAGCTATTGGTACTTACCTTGAACTTTTCTCTCATTTCCAAAGTAGTGCTGGACCAGTGCTTCTGTATCCATTTTTATGTAAGTGCTCTGTCTGTTTCAACACCGAGTCTGTCGTGGCAGAATCTTATTAACCCTGAGCGTCCTTCTGGCCCGGATCATGCAAAAACACTACCAGAAAATGTTTTGGCTTTGCAATTTCTTTGAAGATGAATACCTTATGAAATTCTTTGAAAATTGATTCAACTAACTGCTGGGTATGGTTTGTAGCAATGTATTTTTTGTGTCTAATATTGCTGGGCTAACCTTTCAAAGGTCAACAACTAAAGACATCTAACTTTGTGACACTTTTGGTCGGCATAGACCTTAGCTGTGGCTGGATCATTACAGTACACTTCTTTAAATAAAAGTGCATTTCAATAATCTAGAGCATGCAGGGATATATTTCACAAATTTATTTATTTTCAGTTTGATATCAACAGCTCACAACAAATAGAGAATTAAAAAATATGTTATTTAATTCAATTCATGGAGAGGAAGAGAGCGCATCCAGCCAGTCACAGTCAGAGAAACAGGACTTCACTGAAAAACAGGCCAATCTTTTAACTTTTAGTTCAGTTAGTGGGAATATAGAGATAGAATGAAGCAGATTGATGAAAAAGGGGTTCCTATGTCCTCCAGAAGTCTAAGCCTATAGCAACATAAGGAACAATCATATCTGATTGGCCATTTAAGGCTTTATATGTGAGAAGGAGGAATTTAAATTCTATTCTGGATTTAACAGGAAGCCAATGAAGAGAAGCCAGGATAGGAGAGATAGGAGCAATGATCCCTGTTTTCAATTTATCAGAACTCTTGCTGCAGAATTTTGGATCAGCTGAAGGATTTTAACAACAGTTTGTGGACTTCCTGGTAGAAAAGAATAAAAACAGTCCAGCCTTGAAGTAACAAACGCATGGACTAGTTTCTCAGCATCACCCCTGGACAGGGGATTTCAACTTTTTGCAATATTGTGCAGATGAAAAAAGAAAATTCTCTGAGTTTCTTTATTATGGGATTTAAATGACAGGTCCTGTCATTATAAGAATAAAAATAATATAAAATAAGCACAAAGTCAATAGTTTTGTAAATAATTTGGCTTCGGAAACCTTTTTATGACAGTTCGCTAACAAACTGTCACTCCCATCCTCCAAGGTGGGTCAGCTGAGAAAGGAAATTGGTAATGAGGCTACTAAGAGAAAGTTCAGTTGAAGGAAAACCTGCAGTAGGAAAAGGTGGACAAGCAGCAGGTATAACTGCTACCTTAGGATGAATATGAAGCACAAATTAAAATAAATGAAAAAACTACAGTGATAGAATCATCAACAGCTCACGTTGGTGAAGTTCTGATGATGTTCAGAGAGCTCAGTAGCACCTGCAGGGCAGCTGTGGCTACATTGGGAAAGCATGGGATTAATTAGCACTGTAAGGCTGATAATACTCAGCTAATTTTATCCATACATTCTGGTGTTAACACTGGAGGATAGTGTTAACTGTTGATACTAAACCCTAATAAGTGTTTATCTAAACTAGTTCCAACTCTCTCACAGTGTTAACTGCTTAAAACTTTTAAATATGGTATTTAACTTATGGTCAAATAAAGACACTTTAAGTGTTAAAATGTAACTCCCTAGGAGTTAAATTAATACTTCCTGATTGGCTGTGTTTTGCAAATAACTACATGTCATGTTTCAGGACAAAAATGAAAAATTATCTTTTGTGTTAGATTCCCTTTTTATATTGAAGCAAACCTCTTGTCTTAGTAAAGTAGAATAAAAAAGCAGCAAATTTTTAAATGATCTTTTAGGTTTTTTTTTGTTTCTTTTTCCATAGCTGTGTTGTGTGGTGGTAGTGTTCCTCCTGCAGTCCTTTCCTTCTCCAGCGTCATGCTGCTTCATTTCACCTCAGACAGCAGCATCCCTCACAGGGGCTTCAGGGCAGCACTGACATTCATCAGGATCGAAGGTACGTATAATCTAATCCACATTCAGCTCTCCTCAGGAGCCCGCATTCACCTTTTAATGGCATGAATGTCAGAATAATTTAGGGGGTTAAATCATTTGTTTGACCAACGGAGTGATAATGCAGCAAATGATGGCATAAAGAAATTGATGCACAAGTTTGACTTTATATGATAAATTGAGCTTTAGTCTGTATGATTGGATTCAGCTGTTAATAAATTGGACTGGCGACCTGTCCAGGGTTTACCCCGCCTCTTGCCATTGACAGCTGGAGATCAGAAAATGAATGGATGGGTGATTGATTTGTAAATTAACTTAAGACGGCCCTTGTTTGTATCAGCTGTAAATCACTAAACAAACTAAAAATATTTTTTTGTGGATTTGCTTCATCTCACACCTCAAATTTAATAAACAAACTTTAATATAAATGGAAGCTTCTACTAATATTTAGATACATTTTAAGTAGAAAATTGCAGAAAATATAGTATATTTTTTTAGCTGTTGCCATCACTTACCTGAAACATAGAAGGACAAGTTTTGGAATCGACTAGCCAGGCTAAGATCAGATGGAGGGAATTTTGTTCCATTATTGTTGCAACCAACGAACATTTTTTTGTAAATATATATTTACATAAAACTTTATCAGGAAATCAAACTTGTTGATCAATAACAAGGCTTCGAGAACTTGTTGTTTTTTCAGATCTTATGTTTTGTGATATTATTTTTTTTTTTTCAAATGATATTCAAATATTTTTATGTTTTTATTGTTGCAAAATATTTTTTTTTTATTATTTACAGATTTTGTATCTAAATCTTTCTTTTTTATTTTTTGGTTAAAATTTCAGTTTTTCAGATTGAGTTTGACAAATTGCATTCTTTTCAAATTGCATTTCATAGATCATATCCTCCGCGCTTCAAGCCCAATGCAAACAATTGCTTAACACGTACATTGACGAATTAAAATGCTGTTGCCAGGATTGAGGCGGACCAATAGAAATGTGTATTTGCTCATAACTCCAGAGGAAATCCCGCCCCCAACAGTGAAGAGATTTGATGTGTTTTATTTCAGAGGCTGCATCCTCCAAGGACCCTTCGAGGTCCGTAAAATAGGGAGACCGAAAGAGTTTGGCTACAGATTCAAACAGGTCCAGCCTTCAGTGACCTCCAACGCCCCTCACTCAGCGTATCCTCTGTCGCCCAGCAACCCTGACAGTTGATACACAAAACAGGCAAAGAATGGATGCTGAACTTCTCACTACTGTTCTGGGTTCTAATAACATTTTCAAGGAGCTTCAGCAGAAGTGCAGTCATTGCGAAATATCATATTTATAGCCCCCAACAGTGCAGACTTATTGAAATCCAGGCTTAAATGTCAGCCAAACCCATATGAACAGGGACAGAGAAAAACCTTTCAATAAAACAAATATTACCCGTCACATATTTGAAACGATAACCATCTAAAAATAAAAATTTTCATTAATTTCACTCAGAGCTATTCACATCCTTGTATTACATTGAACTGCACTTACAATATTCAACATTGTATATATATATATATATATATATATATATATATATATATATATATATATATATATATATATATTCACCTCCATAAGAAACCGTTCAAGTACCATTGGAAATCTAAGTGGCAGTCAGCTCTTCCGTTCCTCAAGGAAACACCTCAACCTGGGTAAACCCTGTCCGCCTTCCAACGAGCAAGTCTTTTACTGGAACAACCCACACCGACTGGATTCAGAGAAAGACACCTTTTTCTGGAAAAGTGAGTCATTTTGCCTTTATTCCCTTTCGCCAAATCGAAGCATAAATTTCCCACTGAGCCTGAAGTAACCACAGGAACTTCCCCCTTCTTTTTTCAGTCCTGGTTCACCAGTGTTCAGAGCAGCACTGGACCCATCTCTACCAGTTCACAATAAACCTGTTAAACCTTCCCCTGGTCTCTCTGTTTGGTCCTCTGCATGTGGGTCAGATCTTTGAATAAAATCATGAGAGAACAGCAAAGTTACTCTCAAAACCTTTTTTGGATTAAAACATTTTTGAAGTTTCATTTATGAATTGGATTTTTTTTTTTACATACCGGTACTTTTCATTTAGAAAACATGTTCATTGCTTGCAAAAATAATCAAGCAAAATTCTCTCCATAAAAATCCAACTGCACCATATAATAACTGCTTTTGAAGGATTAATTTCAACATTGTTTTGTCTTGGATTGAGAAATTTAAGCCAATTTATAGAAGCAGGAATAATACCTCCTGACAGAACCCTGGCTGCAGCTTTTTGGGTTTTTTATACTGTGGTTTGAAAACTGTAATTGCACCCTGCTAATACAGCCTAGACCCAGAAGTCTAGTCTACAGATTATGCATGGATCAGTTTTTCCACCTTGTTTCAAAATTTAGGAGTTTTTTTTTTTTCACAACACTTTTAGATAGTTACTAAAGAATATGCACTAATAATTTACTTTTTAAGATACTGTGTTAAATAAATAAATGTGGGTTTTATCTGCATAGAAAAGGGAGCAGGGATAATATTTTACAACAGTGTAGGCTGTAGAGAATATTTGTAAAAAAAAAAAAAAAACAAACAGAACCAGACAGATATGAGGGTATAGGTCTGTTGGGCATCTGTGTCCCGTTTTAGTGGTGTTCAAACAAGGAGTTAAGTTAATAATATCACTTGTATGCATTTGATTCTGTAGCAAGACCTGACATGGCTGATATATAGCACATGCTACTCAGATGATGCAGTGTCAATTTTTAATATAATGCCTTTCATACAATCTTTCAAAATTTTATTTTGCAGATCTGCATCATCAAGATGAACCAGTTAAGGAGGCTCAGCCACATGTTTCAGCTAATCTTCCTCATACAATCTATGATTTGTTCCGCCTCTGCTTTGTCTTTGCACGTCAGATGGTTGTGGTATAACAGGAGAGAGGAATGGTGATGTATGCAGTCCTGTGTATACGATGCTGAGCAGGTTATTGTGTCCTATACAGGGGAGCTGCTCTTTCGTCACTGAATATCTGCAATGACGCTGTTAGCTAGTGGCATTTAGAGAGAATATTTGGCAATAAACATTTGGTCAGCAATATGTTAGTGTTGAAGTAGAATCTAGTGTCTACTTTAAAGCTTAAGAAAAAGCTTGGGGAAAGTTTGGGATCTAAATATACAAACAATGATAACCAGGATAACCTAGATTTTTTAGGAAGGAAGTTTTAATCAAACTGAGGTAATTAATTTGTTTTTCTATTAGAATTAACTAAATTAACCAGTAATAAAAGATAAAATGATGACACTGTAATTGTATCACACTTTAACACAAAGTATATACTAAAATATATTTTTAAAATGAAACATCTAAAGAGTTTAAACAGTCAAAGCGAGGGAGTAAAGGAGAATATTCCTATGACAATTTTTCTGATTCTCTCTTGTTGTCTGCACAATCGAAGCAGTTCTGATCCGCACATGGTGCACGAATTATTGTATTGCCTGCACGCTCTCACTTGGATTACAAAAAAAAACACCTAGCGTAGTTTAAAATCCAGGATAATTTATCCAACTCACGGGCATCTGTGAACAACTATTAATATCAAGGAGACTCCCTGTACTTCCGTGAGATTTGGGATGTCTGTTACTGTCCCCCAGTCCCCCTCCTCCGGCTGAGGACGGGCGGCTCATGGCTCTCTACTGAGGTCTGGTCCAGTCAGCGGCCCAGGAGAGGACACTTCATGCCCCCCCTCCATTGGGCCAGCGAGCCAGTGGGCTGGTCTGTTTGTCAATTTCAGGGCGTGACAAAAGTACAGGCCAGAACCAAATAAGGCAAGATCCCCGAATTGACGTCAACTCAGGGTTGCCTTTATGGTGGAAGTTTAAAATAGTGAGATTTGCAGAGAAAGGAGGTGTCAATGGTTTTTGAACTTCTCTTTAGGTCCATTTCACCCACTGAACTATTGTTATTCATCTATGACTATATAAACTCGGTTTGCACTCTATGACCCCTTTAATGCGCAGAATAAAAGCCACCAGCACCATAAACTTAAAGGTAAATAATGGATGTTCTTGATCTTCCAGCTCTTGGGAGCTAAGCAGGGAGTCATCTACCACTGCAGATAGTCTCACAACTTCTGCAGAACAAGAGCTGCAGATTTTAAAATCTTTGCACTATCAAAAAATGTGTCTTTAAGTGTTTTTTATTTAATCTGCCCCTAACAGTTTGAATGGGCGTAGATTATATCTGTTGTCTGATAGGTGTTATCCTGTCACCCTCTTTCAGTTGTTTTCAGCGCTACCTTCGTCTCTAAGCTTTCCTTTTGTCTCTAAGCTCCACTTTTCTTCCTGTTTGTCTCCAGGGTGAACTCTCACCACACCCAGTACCTCAGAGACTGTGATTTTAGCTTCTCCTCCTGCTAAATCCCTTTCTTCTCCCAGTCTGTGGAAGTCAAACCCCACCCACAGTGACTCATAGTAGGTGTAGGTAACAGGTGTGGTCTATGTGGTCCCTATAGATCCTTCAAACATGTAGACCTGTTCAACCTTTCAAATCTGGATAGTGTCTCTGAGGTTAACGTTGTAACAAAAATGAATATAAAACCAGGAAACTTTTTAAAAAGTATGTTTAAGCCTGAGGAAAGCTGATAGCATTAGAATGTGTATAAACTGGAACTAATGGACAGGCAGAGGGAGGTTGTCCCCTATTTTAATAGATTTTTTAATTTGATTTCAGTCTGTCCAAATTTCAGATCCTTCAGCCCAGAGCAGTACAGCGACTATTTGTGAGCTAGTGTTGCTCTGTTTCACTGGCTTTCTAAAAACCAAACAGTGAACAGAGAGCGGATTGAGGAAACTTGGCAGAAGTCGTTATCACATGAGACAACAACACAACAGTTTTGTGGTCAGTAGGTCTCTGTGTTTGCATCCAACAGGCCATTATTTCTCCTAGCTGTACAGTTTATTTTATTTATTTCTCATCTGTGGGTCCATACATGCCCTCAGTATATAAATAGTCAGAAACGGATATTGGTGTTTTTAGGTTTTTGTAAAAATCCAACATTATTGTGTCCACTATTATTTGACAGTCAATATAAGGAAGGTATTATTGTCAAACAATGATTTTTAAATTTTGCTAAACTTGACTGTTCTGCAAACCCCTAATGTTGTTAGAAAACTGTAGTATATGGCGCCCCCTACTGATAGTTTTGAGAAAATACAAGCTAAAGTGGATGTGCTGACATTTTGTAGAACTTACCACCATCAATGATTCAATAAACGTTTAATATCTATGGACAAAATATTATGATTTATAGAGGCTGAAAAAAATTATTTAATATAAATTTAATTAAATTTTATTATTTTTTTTTTTTAATCATAACTACATCTATTTCCTCAGATTTTTTTTGTATTATAGTGTTATGTACAGTAAAAGTCAATTTTCTGATGTCACCTAGCTTAATTTTTTACATTTCTCTGTATTTTAGCTTCACATGAGGTCTATAATTACCAGCTGTAAACATAAATAAACTTTGCCTCAATATTGGATGTAAAACTTAAGATTTAGGTGTTCTTTCAAAATTCAGAACAGGAAAAAATGACCAGTAAAAACAGTATTTTGACTTTTGGTCCAAAACTTTTTCAAAAAATATTAAATTTGCTACTAGATTGATTACAGAAGTTATGAGCTGTGGATTTTTCACTAAATATGGTATAATGATTTTCATCATCTGGATTTTTGAGGAAAGATCAGAAAAACAATTTGGCCTCGTAGAGGTTGGCGGTTCCTGATAGAACTTGTCTCTGTGTCTCCTGTATCATCAACATCATTTTCTCAAAAGTTTCAGCTCAGTTTATCTTTTCCAATCCTTCAATTAAAGGTTTTTAAACTGTTTTTCCTCCATAAAACCATAGACTTCTTTCAATTTCTCTCATTTGTTTAATTAGCATGAACATGGGCGTAGGTTTGCATAGGTGCCATAGGGACATGTCCAAACCAAAATTTTGGCCCAACCTACTTGTCCCTAACAATAATTCTACCTAAATAACATGTTTATAATTTACAAAACAGTGTTGTTGCAGCAGTTGCTTCATTTCTCACAACTTGTATATTGAAGTGAATATTTTAAATGCTAAGTGTCACTTCCTCTTATAGTTCCCGCGCCAATGTAAATACAATACATCAATTTGCAGTCCCTTGAATATGTTATTTTGCTTTGTTTTACAATACAGAGAATATCAGCATATCAGATTAAAAAAATAACAGTGGGTTTTACCTCTGTTTACCTGTGCAAAATTCTATTTCTTAAAAAAAAAAAAAAAAAAAAAAAAAAAACACCGGATAAATACACATACAACAGACATATTTAGACTATATTTGGTTAAAAAGGTTTGTATTTACCTTCCGTCTTAGTCACTGGTAAGTTCAAATGTAACCCTTTTCAAAGTGTAAAGTTGTCCCACATTATTCCGAGCCACCCATGCTTCAAACATTGATAAATAGCATCTTGTGTGTGTAGTGCTTGTAAGATTTGTATAAATTTAGCAAAAAATGCTGTTTTCTCTTTAAACAAAATGTGCCCTGATGCTCACATCAAGCATAAAAAAAAATTGGAGCATGCATAATGCGCAGGACCACTGACATTAGACCAATTCAACTTAAGACCAATAGTGTCCCTATCAAAGTTGAGATCAAACCTACGCCCTTGAATCTAGTTTAAATACGGAAAATTTAAAATGTTTGGCCACCAGCAGGTCCTGTAATAATGGTTATAATATACATATATATATATATATATATATATACAGGTGCTGGTCATAAAATTAGAATATCATGAAAAAGTAGATTGATTTCAGTTATTCCATTTAAAAAGTGAAACTTGTATATTATATTCATACATTACATACAAACTCATATATTTCAGATGTTTATTTTGTTTAATTTTGATGATTACAAATGACAACAAATGAAAAATTCATCATATCAGAAAATTAGAATATTGTGAAAAGGTTCAAAATTGATGGCCCCTGGTGCCACACTCTAATCAGCTAATTAACTCAAACCACCTGCAAAAGCCTTTAAATGGTCTTTCAGTCTAGTTCTATAGGCTACACAATCATGGGGAAGACTGCTGACTTGACAGTTGTCCAAAAGACGACCATCGACACCTTGCACAAGGAGGGCAAGACACAAAAGGTCATCGCTAAAGAGGCTGGCTGTTCACAGAGCTCAGTGTCCAAGCACATTAATAGAGAGGCGAAGGGAAGGAAAAGATGTGGTCGAAAAAAGTGTACAAGCAAGAGAGATAACCGCACCCTGGAGAGGATTGTGAAACAAAACCCCTTCAAAAATGTGGGGGAGATTCACAAAGAGTGGACTGCAGCTGGAGTGAGTGCTTCAAGAACCACCACACACAGACGTATGAAAGACATGGGTTTCTGCTGTCGCATTCCTTGTGTCAAGCCACTCTTGAACCACAGACAGCGTCAGAAGCGTCTTGCCTGGGCTAAAGAGAAACAGGACTGGACTGCTGGTGAGTGGTCCAAAGTCATGTTCTCTGATGAAAGTAAACTTTGCATTTCCTTTGGAAATCAAGGTCCCAGAGTCTGGAGGAAAAGAAGAGAGGCACTTCATCCACGTTGCTTGAAGTCCAGTGTAAAGTTTCCACAGTCAGTGATGGTTTGGGGTGCCATGTCATCTGCTGGTGTTGGTCCATTGTGTTTTCTGAGGTCCAGGGTCAACGCAGCCACATACCAGGAAGTTTTAGAGCACTTCATGCTTCCTGCAGCTGACCAACTTTTTGGAGATGCAGATTTCATTTTCCAACAGGACTTGGCACCTGCACACAGTGCCAAAGCTACCAGTACCTGGTTGAAGGACCATGGTATCCCTGTTCTTAATTGGCCAGCAAACTCTCCTGACCTTAACCCCATAGAAAATCTATGGGGTATTGTGAAGAAGAAGATGCAATACACCAGACCCAACAATTCAGAAGAGCTAAAAGCCACTATTAGAGCAACCTGGGCTATCATAACACCTGAGCAGTGCCACAGACTGATCGACTCCATGCCACGCCGCATTGCTGCAGTAATACAGGCCAAAGGAGGCCCAACTAAATACTGAGTGCTGTACATGCTCATACTTTTCATGTTCATACTTTTCAGTTGGCCAACATTTCTATAAATCCTTTGTTTTTATTGGTCTTCAGTAATATTCTAATTTTCTGATATGATGAATTTGAGATTTTCATTTGTTGTCATTTGTAATCATCAAAATTAAACAAAATAAACATCTGAAATATATGAGTTTGTATGTAATGTATGAATATAATATACAAGTTTCACTTTTTAAATGGAATTACTGAAATCAATCTACTTTTTCATGATATTCTAATTTTATGACCAGCACCTGTATATATATATAATATATATATATATATATATATATATATATATATATATATATATATATATATATATATATATATATATATATATCAATCTCTTTGCTGAAATGAACTTCTTTTTTGCAGATTCATCCAGGAAGCAGTCTAACAGCAGAGCTCTGACCCATCAGGGTCTTGTTAAACCCACTTCGTCAAAGGATCAGGGGTTTCATGTGGAAATGAAATCAGCTCATGAAGACCAAAGTGGTGAATCCTCAGGAAATGGACCCTGGAAGGAAACACTTCTCCATTAAGATACAGATAAACTAGTTTTCTACCAGTGATCAACCATTAATTCCTCACATAAACCTGCTTAAATGTTGCTCTATTTGTGAAGAAATAATCTCAGTGAGGTAACTTTAAATTTATTTAGACATAATATCAATAAAAACAACTTTTTTTTTTAGTTTGTTTTGTTTTTATATTAATATTTCTATAGGTTAGAAAACCAATAAAGAGTATGAGTTTACTGCATGTTTACAGCAATATTGCATGTGTCATAAACGGGGACAGATGTATGAAGGTAGATTTGTGTCTTTATTATTCAATTTAAAAAAGGTTGCTTCAATCGAAAAATATATTTTCAATCGAAAACACCTTCACTTCAATGAAAAAAAGTTTTCAATCAAAGAAAAAAGTATTTGAATGCAAAAATATAGTTGAGACCCAAAAAAAATACACAATTTTGTTGCTTTTGTTCGAAGCAACTTCTTTTTTGATTGAATGATAAAGACACAAAGGTCCTACCCATTATATGGTCCAACCAAAAAAACAATGTTACTTTAATAAAAAAAGTAGCTTTAAACAAAAACAAACTCGGCTTCAATCAAAGAAAAGCAGTATTTAAATGTATTTTTTTTAGTCTAAACTATATTTTAGCATTCAAATACTTTTTTCTTAGTTTAAAAACTTTTCTTTTAATTGAACATAATTTTTTTGAAATGACCTTCTTTTTAAATTGAATTATAAAGACATAAATCTATCTCCATACAGATGGAATCAATATTCAGGCGAGACAGACAGTGGGAAGGTTTAAAACCTTTAATTACAAAATAAAACAGAACAGAAGCAAAACGCGGGCTGCTGTGGATCAGAGGACCTGCAGCAGTTGTAGAGGAAAGGTGGAGCATCGCTCATTACTGGTTGGACAGTTCAGTCCATCCTCTCAAAGGCAGGATCAACCAATGCACTGCCAAAGAGATGCGGTGCTGAGACGTCCAGAGGGCCCCCGATGCTGCAGCCCCAGTGAGCAGGCAGGAGACCGATCCATTTCAGGAAAACAGTTCAGAACAGGACAGTTCTGAGATCCGGGAGTCCGTAGCAAGACCCGGGGTTCCAATCCAACCAGGAACAGAAAGATATAGGGTTACTAACCCTAATCCTTTTTTATTTTTAAAGTTTCAATGACTTTTAATGACTGCCCAATCTTGTTTCTGTTTTTAAATGTATGATGCATCCAGTTTCAACCTATATCAATACAAACTTTATATGATTTCTGTACCTCTCTTTTTATGTGGTTTGATTCATCTTTGCTTATTCATTCATTTTATCTGACATTATTAAAGGGACTTTTTTTGTAAGTTAATCTGGAACCTTTTAGCTCTGACTGATACATAAATTGGCTTTAAAAAGGTGTTTTTAAGCTAATAAATACAGCCGTCTCTGTTCTAAGAACTCCTCTAGAACCTCTGGAGATAAATTCCTCATTAAGTGAAGAACTTTATGGATAGCTGTGAGCTTTTTCTTCACCAGATTGTTTAGCAAGTATCTTCAGTCAGAGGCTTCTCCAGACGTGGTGCAGGACACACCTCTACAGAAAAGACTTCCTGTCCACAGCAGCTGAATTAGTATTAGTAAACTATGAGTTACGGCAAGATTTTATTTCCCTTTGGGGTTAATAAGGCATTTGTAAAAGGAACTCTGTCAAAGAAAGACAACTCCAACAATAAAAAAAAAAGTTTTAAATGAGATCTTTTGATCTCTTCCCATGAAAAATACAAAAAAAATGTTTGGCATGAAATATCAGGGATGTAAGCAGGTGAGGCCAAATGAAGATACATGATCTCAGTTCTTCATGGATTTTGTTTCTGTTACAGAAAAAAAACAATCAACGTAAAAAAAATCTCCTAAAGACTGTCTGAGTCTGGGGGTTTAGTTAAACTCAACTCTTCCAGCTTGAAGGAAATTATAATTTTCTGTGCAGATTGATATTGATGTGTTGCTTCCTTCCACAACCCTTTGAGTACGGTAGATCTACCACAGAGCCATTGGTAGGTAGCAAGTTTGCCAGCTTTCAGAGTAAAGGGAATGAGAAATGATGGTTATCTCTGTGGGTCATAGGGGTAATCCAGAGTCTCTCTCCTCCCACTCTGTCAGTGGTCTGATTACAAGGCTCTACCCTCCATCAGAGCACCACCTCTGTGCCATGTGTCACGATCAGATCCGTCTTTCTATTGGTGCGTTGGACCCATCACCTCTCTCCTCAAAAGGGACGCCACATCCCACTGGAGGTGTGTGTGTTATAGTGGGAGGGGAGTCTGTTATTGCCTGAACTGTCTGTGGACTCTGGTCCCAGACTGTTGGAAGGGAAGGACAAACTTTAACACACAAAAAGCCATGGACTCAACCTTGGTGAGATTATTGCTTTTTTTTTTTACCCTTTTTGTTTAAGAAATTCTATATTTATCAAACCGCCGTTTCTTAACCCACATTCTAAAATGGCTAAAGTATTCATTCATCTGTGGTTATTTTAAACATATAATGTATGCTCTTGCAGATGATCCCGGTGGTGTTGGCAGTTTTTGCAGTCGTAGTGACGTTGTTGTATTTCCTTCTTGGAGATTCTGCAGGAGAAAAGAGGAAAGGCCCCGTGACTCTAAAGGATTCCACCATCAAATATCCACTACCACTCATTAGCAAACAGGTACAGTAGGCTGCATAAAAACACATTGATTCTGACTGGGATTAAATGACTGTTTAGCCTAATAAATCAATCAAAAGCAATCAGATTCTTCATTAGAATATACACTCACCGGCCACTTTATTAGGTACCCCATGCTAGTAACGGGTTGGACCCCCTTTTGCCTTCAGAACTGCCTCAATCCTTGGTGGCATAGATTCAACAAGGTGCTGGAAGCATTCCTCAGGGAGTTTGGTCCATATTGACATGATGGCATCACACAGTTGCCGCAGATTTGTCGGCTGCACATCCATGATGCGAATCTCCCGTTCCACCACATCCCAAAGATGCTCTATTGGATTGAGATCTGGTGACTGTGGAGGCCATTTGAGTACAGTGAACTCATTGTCATGTTCAAGAAACCAGTCTGAGATGATTCCAGCTTTATGACATGGCGCATTATCCTGCTGAAAGTAGCCATCAGAAGTTGGGTACATTGTGGTCATAAAGGGATGGACATGGTCAGCAACAATACTCAGGTAGGCTGTGGCGTTGCAACGATGCTCAATTGGTACCAAGGGGCCCAAAGAGTGCCAAGAAAATATTCCCCACACCATGAAACCACCACCACCAGCCTGAACCGTTGATGCAAGGCAGGATGGATCCATGCTTTCATGTTGTAGACGCCAAGTTCTGACCCTACCATCCGAACGTCGCAGCAGAAATCGAGACTCATCAGACCAGGCAACGTTTTTCAAATCTTCTATTGTCCAATTTCGATGAGCTCGTGCAAATTGTAGCCTCAGTTTCCTGTTCTTAGCTGAAAGGAGTGGCACCCGGTGTGGTCTTCTGCTGCTGTAGCCCATCTGCCTCAAAGTTCGACGTACTGTGCGTTCAGAGATGCCCTTCTGCTCACCTTGGTTGTAACGGGTGGTTATTTGAGTTGCTGTTGCCCTTCTATCAGCTCGAACCAGTCTGGCCATTCTCCTCTGACCTCTGGCATCAACAAGGCATTTCCGCCCACAGAACTGGATGTTTTTTCTTTTTCGGACCATTCTCTGTAAACCCTAGAGATGGTTGTGCATGAAAATCCCAGTAGATCAGCAGTTTCTGAAACACTCAGACCAGCCCTTCTGGCACCAACAATCATGCCACGTTCAAAGTCACTCAATTCACCTTTCTTCCCAATACTGATGCTCGGTTTGAACTGCAGGAGATATTCTTGACCATGTCTACATGCCTAAATGCACTGAGTTGCCGCCATGTGATTGGCTGCTTAGAAATTAAGTGTTAACGAGCAGTTGGACAGGTGTACCTAATAAAGTGGCCGGAGAGTGTAGGTGGATTCAATTTGAAATGGTGATGGAAAACAGACAAATTCAGGAGATCCTTTATGGAAATTTGGTCAAAATATTTTTAGGGGCATCTAGTGGTTTACTTTGCAGCGATTCTTCATCCTGAGTTAGCATGTGGTGACGGTGCTACCTGCCAAAAATATTTCTATAGGTGAGAAAAATAGCAAATTACAGAACAGCAAATCGATTTTGTCTCTGAGATACTTGTTTATTAACAAATTTACCACTTTTTGCATAACGTCAATGGAGACTTTCATGGCTGATCTCTTTTGTTGCACAGAAAATCCCAAGCAAAGCAGGATATATAGCCTATTATTATTTATTTCACCTTATTGATGAATTTGTAAAGAAGATTTATGTTAACTATACATATAAAGATCTGCTTGATAAAACCTAAGGCAGGGGTTCCCAAAGTAGGAATCAGGTATATCCATATACTGTATGGAAGGCTAGAAGGGCCATGAAATAAACAATAAGCAGATGTGACTTTTATTTATTTATAAAACTCGATTCAAATATTAAATATGTCATTAAATATTTCTAAAATACACAATTAAACATTTTATTGTCCCCTTAAATAAAAAATTATAAATTAAATATTTTCTTTAAAAAAACATGTAATTAAAAATGAATACACTTACGTCAGTTTATAAGTATAAATAAATACTGACTGAATAATTAAGTGAATATTTATTTGTAGGGACCTAAACTCTATTGTTATTTTTTGGGGTCACAGGCTGAAATCTTTGGGAAATCCCGGCCTAAAATAAAAAATATGTTCAATAAAAATAAGTGCTGAATGCCTTGTTTGATGTTGGCTTAGAGGTAATGTTAAGAGTTTACCAAAAGACTAAAGGATATTTATAGGGGAGCATATCCAGACTTCTTCAGTTCCGTTTAAGACGTTTTATTTTATTTTGTTAGAAACCCTTTTATTGGTGTATAAAATGACAATTATATTTGAACTGCTTTTAAGCTCAGATTTGTTAAAGGAGAAGTTCACTTTTTAACACTTTAAGCCCATTTTCTGTAGTGTCCAGGATGAAATCGAATGATCGACACCAAAAGTTTGACAATTGCTCCTGTCTCTGCTTTTTGGCTCATGCAGAATCCCCCCCTGGCTGCTTCAGAATGGCTTCCATTGTGCATGTCCGATAATGTCCTTAAAACAACCTTAAACGTTCTTTTTTTAAAATATGCTACTCACCGTGTCGTCAGCGCTGTTCAATGACGTTCCAAAAAAAGTTTCGTAAAGAACAAAACGTTCCTGTAGTGTTTTATTTAGCATTTTGTAAATCCCATTGATTTCTGTTGGAATAGTCAATATCCCTCCGCCACCGGAAACGGAAATGGGGCCTGTTTACACAGTTGTAGTCTTTTCGCTTCACTCTGTGTACTCTGACGTCGAGGTGCTAACGTCTCTGTTAAACACTTTAAAAAACTCTGAAAATGGAATACGAAAGGTGGATTCTTGATTCTCGACGTCGGAGTACACAGAGTGAAGCGAAAAGACTACAACTGTGTAAACAGGCCCCATTTCCGTTTCCGGTGGCGGAGGGATATTGACTATTCCAACAGAAATCAATGGGATTTACAAAATGCTAAATAAAACACTACAGGAAAGTTTTTTCTTTACGAAACTTTTTTTGGAACGTCATTGAACAGCGCTGACGACACGGTGAGTAGCATATTTTAAAAAAAGAACGTTTAAGGTTGTTTTAAGGACATTATCGGACATGCACTATGGCAGCCATTCTGAAGCAGCCAGGGGGGGATTCTAAATGAGCCAAAAAGCAGAGACAGGACCAATTGTCAAAATTTTGGTGTCGATCATTCGATTTCATCCTGGACACTACAGAAAATGGGCTTAAAGTGTTAAAAAGTGAACTTCTCCTTTAATTGAAAATGCAGCCATGTCTGTTTAGTTTAGGGAAAGATTCCCTACTTTGTCACAGAACAAGTTATCTCACAGTAGAAACATTATGGATCAACACAGCCTTAGACTGAAGGTTTTCGTTTTATTAGCAGTCGATTTGAGAATCCATCCTGTTGCCTTTTCTAACTCTTCTATCTGTGACCTTGTGCAGGAAATCAGTCATGACACCAAGAAATTCCGGTTTGGCCTTCCATCGGAGTCTCATATCCTTGGACTGCCAGTTGGTAATGAAACATCTCTGATAAAAACTCACAAAGTATCCTGTTATGTAGAGATAATTTAGAAACATCTGAGCTAATTTCACCTTTTTCAACCACTGAACAGCAATGGAAGCATCTCAATACAGGAACACAACACTCTTACATCTAGAAAACAAAAATAACTAATTACATGTAATTTACAGAGAAAACACTTCATATTTACCCATTTTTCACCTTTACTCACCTTTTCTCAGGTCAGCATGTTTACCTGTCGGCTAAGGTGAATGGCTGTCTAGTGGTCAGACCTTACACTCCAGTCTCCAGTGACGAGGACCAGGGATTTGTTGACCTAGTGGTCAAAGTGGGTAACCTTGGATTAACAGAAAACAACAATCAAAAACTGTGAAGCAACCAATGTATTGGGTAGCAGTCATCTTAATGGTAACAGTAAGCAAATTATATCATTAGAATTGCTTGGCTAAAACATGTTGGCGGTAGTGTTGCACCAATACCAATACCAGTATGGGGCGGGGGCTCAATCTAGGACTAAAATGCTGGTATCGGAACCCGCTAGTAACAACAAATAGGGCACCGATACCATTATCATGTTTGTATGTCACTTGAACGCAGCTATTGGCCTGCTCTAGACAAATGAGAGTAATTTTACTTTCTTACTGTTGCACTAGTATTATACATGTTATATAAATTCATGAAAGTTGCACTATTTTGGCATTTGAGAGCCAAAACTCAGGATTTAAAAGAGATTAATAAACTACTAAAGTCATTTTACTGTCTTACTGTTGCACTACTATTACAAATTAACATAATTTCTGAATTTTGCACTATTTTGGCCTTTGAGATCCAGAAGTTTATTTAACTATTGTCAGCCATTCCACTTAGGCAATAAAAAGTTCTACTGGATTCACTTTGTTTTAGTCTTTTTCCTGCCTCACAAAGGTAGGAGCAGCTTGAAAAAGCCGTGATGGCAATTATTTTACATCCAAGTAGTATGCAGTTCTTCATATATACACACACACATCAATTTCTAACAGATGGTATTGGTTTGGTATCAGTATCGGGCCCAAAAAATACTATTTGGCGGCCATTATACTCTACATAGCACTAACCCTAACCCATTCATATGGTGCAAATAAGGAATATATATTGTCAGTTCGATTAATTTAACTCAATTTAGTGTATTTATAGAGCCTTGAATACACAAAAAGTGTCATCTGAAGGGACTTTACAGACACAGTTCAATCAGATCACAGTCAGATGTATTACAATTTATATGTATATATATATATGTATATAGCATGTATATAAAAAGAGCGGAGAAGAAAAACAGCTGTTTAACAGAAAGAAAGTAGCAGAACCAGACTCAGTGTGAGCAGCCTGTTGTTGAGGCAAAATTCAAGGAGACAGAAGCAGACACAGAAAAGGAACATAGAAGCACTGATCTATAAATACTTCTGTTAGAAAATGTGACAGCAAACTACTTCAGCAGAAAAGCCCTGGGTTGGTGGTCATGTCAAACAGATGAAAGAGATTACATCCAGTTAGTCGGAGTCGAAGATGAGCCTATAGCTATATCTAGGAGAGAAACAGGAATAAACACTGAAAAAACAGGCCAAACACTGTCGTCTATAACTGAAGTTGTTTACAGCAGCGGTCTAGGTGAGAGTAATTATCAATTGAGAGAACGTTTCTTTTAAAAAAAGGTTGGGAATATCTTAAAGACAAAATCAAAAAGGATAAGATTTGGAAAGATTTCCGTTTATCAATAATGAAGTCAGAGTAATCAAAAATTATATTGATAAAAAATGTCTTTCCTGTATGACACCACAGGATGCACCATTGTGCAGCATGTCTGATACTACTCAGGATGTTAGGGATATCAGGGGGATTAATATTTTAGACATTTTTTTCTTTCATTTTCATTGTTATATAAATAAGGGTGAAATAAAGAACCATAGAACTGATAACTTTTATTTTCATGTCTTAGTGTGATAGTTCAAAAAGACTTTATAATAAAAACTACATTTTCCTTCAGGTATACTACAAAGGCACCCACCCAAACTACCCAGACGGGGGGCAGATGTCTCAGTATCTGGATAAAATGGCCATCGGAGACACTATTGACTTCAGAGGACCCAATGGGCTGCTCATCTACAAGGGCAAAGGTATGGAGTTTGGTGCTTCTCAAAGTTGCTGCTGCACTTTTACCTTTTCCTGCCACCAGATGGCAGTGTGTTTAAATATGAGCCTGAAATGCTTTGAGGGTCTCTTCATTTCTGAGACTATAATCTTCTCTTCTAAGGAGTGTTTTCCATCCGAGCCAACAAGAAGACGGAGCCAAAGATTCAAAAGTACAGACATGTTGGAATGATTGCAGGTGGAACAGGTACATTTATATAAGTTATTAAAGGTGTTTTATTCACCTAATAAGGCTAAACCAAGACTATCAATCCCAGTTAAATGATTAGTTGGATATCAAGTGATATCTTTACCTCAGTGAAAAAAAGAACATTTATTTGACCTTCCTATATCTTCAGTCCAAGCTCTATAATTAGTGCTGAATGTCTCAGGTATCACCCCGATGCTGCAGTTAATCCGAAGGATCACATCAGACCCTGCTGACAACACCAAGTGCTCCCTCATATTTGCCAACCAGGTGGGTCATTTAGGCGAACATCACCAGTGTTCGCCTGGTAAATGCCTGGAAACTGCAGGTAAATGAAACATGGCTGATTGAAGTTTGCTTATTTCAGACTGAGAAGGACATTTTACTGTGGGATGAGCTGAAGGAGGTGGAGAAGAACCATCCGGAGAAAGTTAAAATCTGGTACTCTTTGGACAGGCCTCCAAAAGGTGAGATGGCAGGAAATTAATTGTCTTACTGTTACGTTTTCCAGCTAAATATCTTTGCAACCTAACTTTGCTTGAATTTAATGGTTTTATTTAGTGTTTGTACATTTATATTCCACCCTGAAGATAAGTTTACTAGAACTATTTCATATTTTAAAGGTATTGTGGAGGATTTTTGCAAATTTTTGATAAGACCCGCCCTCTCCACTTAGAAAATAAACGCATGCGAAAGCGTGCACGAGCCAATTTCTCCTCATGCAATTTTTACACTAAGTGAAAATGGAGACAAGCACGTAGGACGGCCTTACGCAAACATATCACCAGAATGATTGACAGTTAGGAGGACCACTTATTTTGATGATCCACCTGGGAAAAAAAAAAACCTCCTCCACTATACCTTTAATCTTTCTTTTAAAGAAAAAAAGTTATAAACCACATTTCAAATAGATATATATATATATATATATATATAGAGATAGATAGATAGATAGATAGATAGATAGATAGATAGATAGATAGATAGATAGATAGATAGATAGATAGATAGATAGATAGATAGATAGATAGATAGATAGATAGATAGATTTGATCCTTTCACCATCATTAGCTTAAAGTTATCAGATTTATTAATGTTTTGCTTCCAAGTGAATAAATAAAATGTATAAATGCCCTTTCTTATTCTCCGCTAAAGGATAAAAGTACATCTTATATTCTAAATGTTTCCTGAATATTTGTTACCAGTTGAGAAAAAGTCTGACTCAAATTATACTAAAGATTATAATAAAGATAGGTACAAAAGGCTTAAAAATAAATTGATGACATAAAGAAGCTACTGTTTGTTGCAGTTTTCCTTTACGTTTTAGGATTTTTGGAGCCGTTGTAACTTTTTATTTATTGTCCTGACTAGTTTAGTAATCTTTATGCAATAATACTTAAAGTGGCTCAATGAAACACACCTTTTCTTCTTTTGCATAATCCCTAAAGTATGCTGGTGAAGCTTCTCAGTCATCCAGGTCATATTAATCCAAAAAGAAAATAAAAAACAATCCCCTGGATTTGGTTTCGGGGTTTGAAGACGTTTCGCTTCCCATCCAGGAAGCTTTTTCAATTCAAAATGTCGGGAATAGCGTTGAGATCGAGGTTTTAAACAGTAACAAAGGCTTGTTTTTGTTTTGAAAACATGCAAACTGGAACAAACGAAGGGGTCCACCAATTTGGAATGGGGGTCGTTTGGCCTCTTCTGTTAGACTGCAATACCCCATACCTGTCTAGGTCTCTGAAAGGGAGGTTGTTAAAGGGGATTGTTGACCTGGCTGAATAGGTGAGGTCTCCCACTCTCTCTGGGCCTCAAAAAGGACAATGGACATTCTTTGGAGGACCAGAATTTTCACATTTTGGATAAAGAAAACAGGTGGGTTAGGAGGGGCATGAAGGAAGCCATCTAGGTTAAGAAAGAAAAACCAACCTTAAAGGAATAGTACACCCAAAACATGATTAGCCTTCATTTTCTACTCACCCCCATGCTGAACAACACTCTGGAGTACTTTTTTGATATCTCAAATGCATCTGGAGATCTGGGAGGCTTCTTGCTGTCTGCTGACATTCAAATAATGGAGGTCTATGGCGCCCGAGGCAGAAAGGTCCATAAAAGTCCACAAAAAACGTGTCAATATTCCTCCATACTGCTCGTCCAATGTATTCCAAGTGTCCTGAGTGGGTAGCGTCCATAATTTACTCGAAACGAAGTCATTTAGAATGTTTTTAGAGCATAAACAGTAGTGTATAGGATTGCCTGAAAGCGCGTTCACGAGTCTACGGAAACCGCGGCAGACCAAACCAGATGAAAGTGCGCATTCAGCGTCTGCTCTGCCGATAATGCAAGCGTAGATGAAGAAATGTGCTGTTTACCTGTGCAAAGAAAGAAACAACGAAAGAAAAATGTCTGAGGACTTCAGTGTTGAGGAAGAGCATGAGTTCTTTGCCGAGCTGAATGCGCTGGTTTGGTCTGCCGGCTTCCGTAGACTCGTGAACGCGCTTTTAGGAAATCCTATACACTACTGTTTATGCTCTAAAAACATTCTAAATGACTTCGTTTCGAGTAAATTATGGACGCTACCCACTCAGGACACTTGGAATACATTGGACGAGCAGTATGGAGGAATATTGACACGTTTTTTGTGGACTTTTATGGACCTTTCTGCCTCGGGCGCCATAGACCTCCATTATTTGAATGTCAGCAGACAGCAAGAAGCCTCCCAGATCTCCAGATGCATTTGAGATATCAAAAAAGTACTCCAGAGTGTTGTTCAGCATGGGGGTGAGTAGAAAATGAAGGCTAATCATGTTTTGGGTGTACTATTCCTTTAACAGAGGGGGAGGACTCAGGTTCCATCTTTCAAAAACTTACAATGCAGCTATTGAGTTAATCTCTTCCCGTTCTTATAGCAGCTCCACCCCCTGTACAGGAGAGCGAGGACCTCGTCTATTCAGCCAGGCCAACAATCCCCTTTAAAGAGCCCCCTTTCAGAGACATAGACAGGTATGGGGTATTGCAGGTTAACAAAAGAAGACAAACGACCCCCATTCCAAACCCATTCGTCCAATTTGCATTTTTTCAAAAGAAAAACAAGGTTTTGTTTGGCTACTCTATAAAACCTCGAACTCAACGCTATTTCTGACATTTTGAATTGAAAAAGCTTCCTGGATGGGAAGCAAAACGTCTTCAAACTCAGAATCCAGTGGATTGTTTTTAACTTTTTTTTTTTTTGGAATCCCTAAAGTAAGTTAAAGTTAGCACCGACTCCTAAAATGCTACTTGTATTTTATTTTCATTCATTAGTTCCTCACATAAACGCAACACAACAGCATCTGTTTCAGTCCCTTATAGAGACAAACTTCAGCTTTAATATAGACGTATCAGAGATCTGTGATGGTAAGTTAACTAAAAACAGTAAACTCTGTCATGTTTCCTGTTACTTTCCTTTCTCATGCAACCAGAAATAGTCCTTATCGTTCTCAACAAGACAGGATGTAGAGGAAGTGTTTAATCCTGAGTATTGAAAGAGAAGCAGCAGGAGGGTTAAAAAAAAGAGGATCTTTACTGCTGTTCAATATCATTATGTTAAAGTCTATATTTCATTTTTTTTTTACATGCACAAAAAAAAAAAAAAATGTATTCTTTGGGTTTTAATGTTTTCTTTAGACTGGACGTACAGTTCAGGGTTTGTGAACCTCGACATGATTAAGGAGCACATTCCTGCTGCGTCCGGAGATGTCCTCATCGTCCTCTGCGGACCTGCACCTATGATCCGTAACGCCTGCCTTCCAAACCTGGAAAAACTGGGACACAAACAAGAAAACATCTTTGCATACTAGTCATGTTCCTCAAATCTGTCAAGTTTGTTTTTTTATTTTTAAAGGTAAAAAAAAAAAGACTCCAGTGCACTTTTATTAAATGCTTAAGAACCACCCAATGCTAGAGTTGAAAATAAAGCTTTGTTGCATTGCCTCGGTTTTGTTTACAGTAGCTCTTTTTTTCTGCTGCTGTTTTGACACCTTCCAGCTGAAAGAGGAAATGTTAAGATGCAGAAAAATAAACCTGAAATTTATAGCTACTACAGTTTTCTGTGATCAGTGAAAACCTGCTTCCATTGCACATTAGATCTCTTCATATTTCACTTTTATTATATATTTTATTGTATTTTAACTTTGACGCTAATTGATTGGTCAATTAAAACAAAAGCAGAAACTTGATGGAAAAGCAACCAACTTTAATGCAGAAGTCTTTTCTTTCTTGTGCAATAAATGGTTGGTTTGATGGAGAGTCAAGATTAAGCACTGAATGAAGGAAGGGTAGAAAAAAGGGGGTGGGGAAACTAAAGGCAATGAAAAAAAAAACAAAAAAAAAACTGTTGTCACTGAATATAAAAATGTTCCCATAAAAGTTAAATATGACATTTATAATAATGCATTTACTTCCTAAACAGTTTTGTCATCTTTAAATGTCAAGCTCTTTATCCATATTTTCCTTCTAAATAAACAAATGGGAAGAAACTGATGCCATTTAAAATAATTATAATTATACTAGTTATAAATATAATAATTGTAATAATTATATATATATATATATATATATATATATATATATATATATATATATATATATATATATATATATATATATATATATATATATATATATATTGATATATATATATATAGTTTCATAAAACGTTCTGGTTTAGGGTATAGTCTATGCAGGAAAGGGTTAATGTCTGCATCTGATATATCTGACTGCCCTTAAACGCACCACAGAGTAATGCGCGTGCCCCTCCACCAACATGTCGCCGTAGGAACCTGACGTCCAAACTTTAGCAACTTTATGTATTTTAGCTTATGACATTTGAAGAGATATGTCGTGCAGGACAGGCGCAGACTTAATCGCATCTATGTTGAGGATTTTAACCAATAAGTGTGTAATTTTAGCGCTGGTATTTGGCCCAAACTTACCGGTTTCTGAGGGTGAAGGTATCAGCCCTCAGAGATGTCTCGTTTGGGGTCCAGGTCTGGATCCCGCCGCAGTTTTACCAGTCCGTTACTTCTTCATCCAGGCGGTGAGCCCTGCAGGAACAAACCTCACGCTGTCTCCAGGTAAAACATCCTTATAACGGAGCCTAATGTCCTTCCTGTGATCATAAGCCTGGCTAGCCCACCGAACTGAAGTTAGTCTCTGTTTTGCAGTGTGAATAGTTTAACTGAATCTAAATAATAATAATAATAATAAAAAGTTTTTTTTATAAAGTTCCCTAATTTGCCATGGTTTAGGTACAGTTTAGATTTTATTACGATTAATTGTATTTTAAATGTTTGTGTAATGAAAATCAACAAGGTGGAGTGGGAATGAAGGCCATTTTTACAAGCAGGACATCGAAGGGGACACCTGGATGGGTGGTGGGGTCTATCACCCGGTCTGTGTCCCTGGATGGGTGGTGGGGTCTATCACCCGGTCTGTGTCCCTGGATGGGTGGTGGGGTCTATCACCTGGTTCTTTTTCTTTTTTAATTCAGTACCATTATAGGTTAATGTTCTTCTAATCATATAAATTATTTTAATAATAAGTAAGAAAATATAATTTTGTTTATTTAGTCAGCATTTAATGCAGCTGGTGCCATTAAAAATAAATATGTGTATTTTTTATTCAATCAATTACAAAAAGATTTAACCTTTTAATATTTTAGAAAGATGTCCTTGAAAGCAGAGAAAACCAGCTTTAATGGAAATTGCTGCTTTACCAATTGATCGTTAGTCAATTAATAAGTTCAATCAACTCAAGAATATTATTAAAGGTTAGATTATAAAAGATCAATTATTAATAATCAATAAAGATTATTAAAGATAAGATTATTAAATACATTTCTTCCATAAACAGTAAGCCTTTTTAACATTTCTCCTGTCATTTTAGATTTTGTTTTGCTTTCTTTCTGTGTGGATTAATTAAATTGCTTTGACCATCTGGTGAAAAGTACATGTCAGTAGCACTTTTACAAATGTGTTTATCATGAAAGATGTTTCCGTGTTCAATAATTGTTTGTTTTTTTAGGTAAAGAGACATTTAAAGTGAAGATAAGTCCCCTCAATGAGGAGGAGTACATCCGTGTTCATGTTCCTCCACCTCTGGACAGAGGAGACGGGTCCTTTCTGATGAGGTACCGCCTTTATGGATCTGCACTCAAAGGCCTGAAGGTGGAGATCTTCAACCAAGACGTCGCTGTGGCCAAGTCGCCCTACATCATCCAAGGTGTGTTGCCTTTTTTTTTTTAACTTGGGTTATCAATTTGGTCTTGTTTAGTTTAAATGAGAAGGTTGTTTTCTATTTTACAGCGGCATCAATGTGTGAAGTCAGAGACGACTAATAAATGACCGTACAGGCAGTTTTGTTATCTGCTCTACTTGTGTATTTTGACCGCTTTTATTAACTTAACTGAAACCTTCTCATTTCCTTGCAGGCCCAGTTTATCATGAATTCTGCGACTGCCCTGAATCTGACGCTTCCGTTTGGCATAGCGTCCTGCAGTGTCCCACCAACGAACCTCAGATCCAGGCCGACTTCCAATCCTTTCCCACCATCGACCTGCAGCGTCTCCGACAGGAAGTGCCCCTCCGATTCTCCAACAGAGGAGGCCTCATCCATTACGCCATCATTGACAACAAGGTGCACCGCCGCACCCTGGGGAAGTACACCGACTTCAAGATGTTCTCTGATGAAATGCTGCTGTCGCTGACCAGAAAGGTGAGATTGTGTGGATTCATAGACTTTTTCTGGAATGTAATAGTTGCTGCTTGGCTATTAGGATGTTTACTTGTTATGTGGTTAAGGTGAGAGTGCCTGATGTGGAGTTTTTCCTGAATGTGGGCGACTGGCCTTTGGAGACGAGGATTGAAGGAGCTCTTCCGATCCTCTCCTGGTGTGGCTCTACGGATACGAGGGACGTCGTCCTTCCGACCTACGAGGTGACGCACTCCACCCTGGAGACCATGAGAGGCGTCACCAACGACCTCCTCTCTGTTCAAGGTAACACAGGTAAGCAAAACAGCTGCATGTTAGTCAAACTGTGAAGGCTGCAGTTTATTACGATGCGAATAAACTGCATGTGACCTAATTTCTTTGGTCTGTTTGGCCAAACACTCGCACTGAATAACACTTTGAACGCACAAGGCAATTTCTGATAACCTAGTATGAAAAATTCATTTTCAAAACCTAAATTTACCTAAGAACGGTTCCTGTGTTATAGCATTGATTTGTTATAAATGTTTTCAGTATACCGGTACATGTTTCCATCCAAAGGAAATGTGAATTTCAAGTATGCCTGGGCAAAAGAATTTGCTTCATTGAATTAATTTGACGCAGGCGAAAAAAATAAATAAATAAATAAATAAATAATGCATTTATTTTACATAATTTTTGTTTTATATAGTGGTGCATTTTTGGCCCCTGGAGTTTCTGTAGCTGCAGTATTACTCTCAGGTTGCAGTTTGGCTAGCAACAGGGTCACAGGAAACAGCAATGGACATAACTACAGATGAGTGGGACATTTGTTCTCAAATAAAGGAATTAAATGACCGGTTGTTTGGAAATACAGGGCTTAAAGTTCTCTGGTGTGGTGGGGGATTTCCGGCGTGCGGCAGCACCGCACTCACCATGTGGGGATTAAATTTTTTTTTTCTCGAGAGGGCAAAAATAATCTTGTCAACGTGTGTTTCATAGGCACACCAGCTATTAACTCTGTCTGCTGTGATGACTTGTCTTTTGGCACTTAGAACGCATTACTGTCAAAGCATATGTTTAGGATGGAGCAATGGTGACACAACTATAGGCCCGAAAGCAACTTTATCTGGTGTCACTTTGTGTAAGTGGGTCATCTAAATAGGACAGCCTTCATGTCTTTTAAAGATACACAGGATATGGGAGCATCTTGGAGCCGGACTGATAGAAGAGAGCTATCTGTAATCCTTGGGCATGGATGGCGTGTCAGTTTCTGATACGGACAGCTAAGCATCCACCTGGTGCAACACATAGACTCATGAGCTATAAGAAGCAGGAGATGACCTTGTTCGGGGCTCAATCTTTGCCGGACGCTTGCTGACGTTTTTTGAGCCCACAGCTGTGCCAACTCCAAACATTTTCTCTGTCCTGTAACGACCTGACCTGGAATAAACTCTGTTACTTTTTTACTCATTTTTTAATAGTCCTTTTTTACATGGTTTTACCCAGTTTAAGTTAAGAGTAGTAAATAACTTGCTCCCAGGAAAAGAACCGGTGGGGAAGCCCCGAGGCGCAGCTGCTTTCAAGGGGACATAACTTTCTCATTTAACGCAGACATCCCAAGTCCAAAAAACTCATTTCAGGAAAATGCTTCGATTTTCTTAGCATAAAATAAAAAATTTCTCCTTGGGGAGTTGGCAATTCCCTAGGACCTTGCCTTTGTTCTAGTGCATTAGAACTGCAAACCTTTCCCATTATCTACAGGTAATTTAGTCCGATATGCACACCAATCCTCTGGTTTCGACCTGGATAACTGGGGGAAATCCCACTCTAGATTACCGACGTCTCAGTAAAATTAAGTACCTTCTGGTGGCACCTACAACTTCCTCTCAGTGCTTAGAGAGAGCCGTGTTTATTTTGGGAAGTTTTTTTCAGTTCTTCCATCAGCTCTTCTTTGCTTTTTCTTGTCTGGAATTCGCTTCAGTACCTCTTTTTGGTATCCATCATCGCTAACACATTGTACGTAACGGTTATGAATTTAATCTATGTTCTGGATTACCCATAATTCAAAGTCGTATTGTAAAAAAGAAAATACTCATACATTGTTCATTTCAGGTTTGAAACATATTTTATGAATGTATTTTTTAGTATTTTTTTGAAGTTTGCATCA